TAGACTGTCACTGCATTAAATGTCACAACAGTCATCAGAAATCTTCTTATGCTGCAAAGCGTACTGAGTCTCGTCATAATAAGAGAGCTAGAGTTGAAGGTATCAGAATATTTGAGAATAGTATAATATATTCAGTGTTAGTTTTTTGTTTGCTGTGTAATAATCGTTTTAATTTTTTTTTTATTTTTTATTTATGTTGTTTATTTTTAAACTTTTAATGAAACACAGCCGCAATGAGAAACATGGATGTAGATACTGAGGGTAAGAATTTTTTTATTTGAAAGCAGAAAAAAAAACTAATAAACTATTATATTCCATATTTGTAGTAATCCCAACTTCTCGTTCCGATTCTGTGGAAGCAATGGACGGTCAGGCCAACTCACCTTTTTTGGATGCCGCCTCAATGTTTGACAATGACAGAGACGACAATGATTTCGATGACAATGTTGAAGATGAAGTCAATGAGATCGAGATTGAGGACTTCAACAGTGAAGGTCAGTGTGAGATATATAAAGAAAACTAAAAGAAAAAGAGAGTAAAAGAAAAATCAAGTGTTAATTTTTTTTAATTTTTTACAGACCCTTTTGCTGCTCCTGATATGCCCGAAAATGAAGTCCATCAATTCATAGCCATCTTTACAGTACTATTTGCTTCACGTCATGTTGTTGATAAGGGTGCTGCTGTCTTGATTGAGTTTATCAACAACCTGCTGAGAATCTACGACCAAGATTTTCAATTACCAACCAGTCTTGCCGGTTTACAAAAAATGACAGGATTTTCTGCTATTACAAAAGGCATCAAGATATTTGTGGTGTGCCAAGACTGTCATACAGTATATCAGGATATTGTATCTGCTCCTCCTCGATGTGTTTCCTCAAAACTTGGTGCCAGGTCTGCATGCAACTGTAATTTGACGAAATCCATATCTTCCGGTGCCTTGGTTGCAAAGCGTGAATATGTCTACCAATCCATTAAAAATACATTGAGCGTTTTCTTCCGTCGCCCTAGTTTCGAAGCCAAGATTCGTCAATGGAATAAGGAGTTGAAGATGGTAGATACTCTGTGCGATGTCTATGATGGTGCGATGTGGAAGGAGTTGAAGGACAAGGATGGTGTATCATTTGTGTTGGACCCACGCTCACTAATGTTAACACTTAACATCGACTGGTTCCAGCCCTTTGATGGTGTCACTCACTCCTCTGGTGCTATCTATCTGGCCATCAACAACTTGCCCCGTGATGAAAGATTCAAGCCAGAGAATATTATCCTTGTAGGTCTCATGCCTGGTCCAAAGGAGCCAAAAACCAACGAGATCAATAGTTACTTGGAGCCCTTGGTGGATGATTTGAAGCAGCTGTACGTTGACATGCGGATTCCTACACACGAATTCCCAAATGGTGTCAGTGTTCGTGCTGCACTACTGATGGTTGCATGTGATATCCCAGCCGCCAGAAAGACAAGTGGATTCACAGCGCATAACAGCACATGTGCTTGTTACAGGTGCAGCCGGCAGTTTACTCGGTTAGGGAGCAGCAACCAGGTTGATTTCCGTGGATTCAATTATTCTCGTTGGAATATCCGCAGTGGTGCAGAGAGCAGGTTGCATGCTGAGGAGTGGAAGGATGCAAGTACACTCTCAGAAAGGCATCAGCTGGAGGTCGAAAATGGTGTTCGATGGTCGCAGTTGCAACGCCTTGGATACTTTGATCTAGTACGTGGAACGATCATTGATCCCATGCATAATCTTTTCCTGGGGACGTCTAAGAGATTAATGGATCGGTGGATTGATGAGAAGACAATTGGACCTGAAGAGTTTGCTTCGATGGAGAAAATTGCAGAGACAATGGTACTACCCAGAGATTACACCACACTGACAACCAAAATTGGAAAGGGCTTCAGCTACATGAAAGCGGACGAGTGGAAATCATGGGTTCTGGTTTATTCTCCTGTCTTGTTGCATGGTATTCTCCCTCCATTACAATTCAAGAACTGGATGTATTTCGTTGATGCATGCCGATACTACGTAAAGCCCAGCATTACTTTTGATGAGATCACCACTGCCCACAGCCTGTTAGAAAAGTTTTGCAATGCATGTAACGTAGACTATACCGCCACTATTCTCACCTGCAATATGCACCTACACCTCCATCTTCATGAATGCATTCGTGATTTTGGACCAGTGTATGGTTATTGGCTCTTTGGGTTTGAGTGATACAATGGTATTTTAAAGAATTTCAAGACAAATGGCAAAGACGGTTTTGAGGCGACCTACATGAAAAATTTTGTTCAGAATGCGTATAAGGGTGATTATGTCAATGCTGTTCTTAAAAGTTCTAGCCAGATCCCCTTCATTCACACTCTGTCTAAACTTGTTACAACCTCCATACCTGCCGCCACAGTCACCACTCTCTCCAGTCGCCCATTCAGATTGCAAGCATTCGTTCAAGGCTACACTGATCCTTATAATCCACCCAAGGGTAACGAGCCTCTTCCTCCTTCTACATTTCCTCTAAAATACAAAAAGCCATCAGTAATGGATGATTCCAACTATCTCCATTTACTTGAATATTACCAAGTCGCTTACAACCTCCCAGACCTTGCCAGCTATCAGGACACGTCCTATAATCGCCCAGCACTTGACAATCAAATCATCAAATTGAAGTCAATTGACATTCTTGGTCAACACTATCGAGGAACAAACAACAGCACAATCAGTCGCGGATCACTTGTTCAGGCAAAGTTTGTTGGTAGTAATGGAAACATTATACTTGGATTTGCTGGACAAATTCAGTATCTTTTTACACACTCCTTCCAACTTCCACCCACGCACAATCTCCATCTGACTCGCATGGTTCATGATCATCAACATGTATTCGCATTTATCAAGTGGTTTCGTACTTCCTCTGATAGGTCGCGTGAGGATGACGGTGTTGAATTTTGTTTGCCCACGTTCTCTCCTGATAGCTACCATAGCATTATACCTGTACATCGCATCTTATTAGAGGTTGCTACAGCTACTATTGCGACAAGTAGAAATGTTAGCAAAATGCTGGTAATTCCATTGCCAAAGAAGCTATATGCTTAAATAATAAATAAAGTGAACTTTTACATTTCTTTTTCTTTAACAAAAAAAACAGAGCGCGTATTTCTGATATATATATTGATAGTATTTTGTATGTGAAAAGTAATATATAGATAAAAAGAGAGAGGCAATTTTTGTTTATTTAATACCCGTCTCTAAGGGCCCACTGAGGAAATTTGGGGGTTATGTCATCTGGGACTGCTGTATTGGACACACTGGTGAAAACCCTCTCCTTCATTTGAGAAGCACTTGACCCCATTGCTTCAATAACATACTCATCAACGAGTTTAATGAGAGTATTGAACTAAAATGATTTTGTTAATACTTCACTTTATATTTTTTATAATAAGACATAATTATTAATATAAAATAATATACCTCGTCACTTCTCCATCCTGGCCGAACAATCTTGACGATGCTCTTCGTGCGATTCTCGAAGTCTTCATCTGCAGATTCTCCATCGGACATTGCTGCCATTTGCATTGTGAAGTCACAATCTCTCTTCATTTGTAGATCAATTGCTTCTTTGTTGTCTGTGTATGCAAGTAAACGGCGAGTATGATTCTAATAGTAGTTTTTTTGTATTAGTATTTTTAAAATTCTCAAGACTAAACTATATTATTTTGAAATTATTTATTTAGAGATTACACTTACATCTCTGGCACGTCCTGCCCTTCTCAAACGAGTGTTTGTTGCTTTTATTTCCTCTTCGGTTTTTCTTGCTTTTGAAACCCGGCTGGTGAAGTTTTTGTGCAGTCTTGCTCTCAAGTCTGCCTCTCTAAATCCCTCATGGGTAAACTTGCGCTTCAAGTTTTCAAGAAGTCGCACCACCAACTCCTTGTTTGGCGACTTGTAAAAGAAAACATTTGTATTCCATCTGGGCTTACTCTCATTTGCCAGGATATCAGCTTGATTTCTTGTTTTCAGCTTGGGATCCCACATGAGATTACGAATATGGGCCTGATAGAATATATGAGAAAATACATCGATAAAATTTTGCACACGTTGATACTCACATAAACATCATTAGAGGCCTTCTTGCTAAACTCAGATGGGGCGTTGAAGGCAGGCTGAGAAACATTAGCCATTGTATTGGTAGGGGAAACGAGGGGGGCTCTGCTTAAACTGTCAATAGCAGTGATTGTCTCAGTGCTGCTGGTGGCAAGAACACCAATTCTGCTATTCATGTTTAGCAATGTATCTTCAACAGTGCCGATTTGTTCTTGTACAATCGACATGTCAGCTGCCATGTTGGTTCCCATGGCTGTCATATTAGTTTTCAAAGTAGAAAGAATTTCCATCAATTGTTCGTTTGTAATCTCAACGGGACGAAGAGCAAGTTGACGTCTTTGAATAGGCATTGTCTACAGAATATAATAAAAGGTAAAAATGTAACTGTTAATTTTAGATTACATTGTTATTGATGCTATTATACAATTGAATTGAATTGAATTAAAAATAAATTATATCAAATTTACATACTTAAATTATTTGAAATAAAATGGGTTGATGTGTGTGTGTTTGAGTATGAGTGCAATAAGTAGCAAGAAAGCAGGAGAAAGAGTAAACAAATTGTATAAAACGTATGGTTTATATAGATATTCAGCATATCTTTGATATATAAGTCTCTATTAATACTTCTTGTAATCACTGAGATGCAAATCGGCTTTCATACTGCTTTAGAACCCAATTGATCAAACCAGTCTAGTCTTTTGTTTCAAACGCACTTTTCTTTTTTCTTTTTTTTTCTTTTTTTGTTATTGTTCCTGTTTCTCTTTTTTTTTGCTCTTTATATTTGCTATTGGTCTTTTCTTTGTTTCTCTATCTCTGCAACTTCTATTATATTTGCGAACTATTTGTGTAAGACATGTTCTTTCTAAAAAGTCTTCTTTATAGAAAATAAAAGAATTTATTTATTCTGTTGCCATAGACACACTCTTTGTCACTGTCTCCACCCATTTTTTTATTTTTTTATTAGTCTTTTTTTTAAATCTGCTTTTTTAAAGTACTTTTTTATATAACTAAAAAGAATTAGTTGTTTCAGTTGCCATAGACACTCGCCCTCTCTTTTCTTTTTACTTCTTTCTTTCTCTTTTACTCTTATACTTGCAAATGTTTTTGGTAAGGTGCTTTTTTTCTTTATTTTTCTTTATTAGTAATTTCTTCAAATATAGCTGAGTAATAACAAGTGTTTCTGCTATCATAGTCACTCGCGTATAGTTTCCTTCTGATGCATCCTCTTCACAATGGCCATCCGGATTAGCCAAGGTTAGTAAATATACTTCATACCATCATCTCATAAAAGTATCCTGATTTTTTCCTTTCTTTTTTATAGGACATATCACCAAAAATATTTTCTACAGCTAAACACGACCACCAACACGGTAATATTTTTATCTATTTATTTATTATATTTCTCTTTAATATTAATCAAACTGAATTCAATTTTTACTATAGATGAACAACCCTCTCTAAAACATGCTATGAATCAAAAGCTTCTATCTCATGCTGCTGTCATTGACATAGTAAGACTTTTTTTGTTCTTTTACTATCCTTATATGTATCATTATATTACTTATACTGTTTATTAATAAAAAACTACCAGATACTATATCGACTTTTGATAAGTATTATCTATATCTACAAATAAATCCGTTTGCTTTGGGTATGTAAATTAATAATTATATCGCCCAATTCACAAAAATTACTTTTTTCCAATCATTTTCATAGTCAAAGGAATCAAAATTCCGTAGCTTTACTTGTAATATTTTATTGTTTGGTCTTTGTACTGGATAATTCCAATATAAGTATTAATGGTTTATAAGAATTGAAATATCCAACACACACGCACACCCATCACTAACGATTTATCTATTCTCAAAGAGTACTGCTCGTACCCCAAAAAAAACGTATTGAGCAGCTCATTTTTTTTTAGGTATTTCTTTTTTGTAGAAAATTTTTCATCCCAAATATAACAAACCGACCAAGCAAGAAGTAGCTAGAGATATAGAATAGTATTATTAGATCTGAAACCTAGAAACATTCTATTCTTTCCAATAAAAATAAAAGCGTAAACCATTACCAGCCTAATAAGAACGGGAAACCAAATAAATAAAGAACATATTACTGGTCCATAATTTTAAAGACGCCTTTTTTTGCTGCTGATGACCAAACTTCTTAACAATAAACTAGCTTAAAGGTCACCTTTACGCTACTTTTAATCTTCATAATATGTTGGTGCCTGACCTTTATGGTTCCATATAAAGAATATCAAAATAGATACGCAGTTTTAAAAAACTTTCTTTTTATATATCAAGTCAGATAAGTATATCTAAAGTGCTAACAAACCTTACCTGCGGCACCCCCCACCCACAATTCCGCTAGTTGACTCTAGTCATTCCACTATCTGTGAAGGTCACCTTCAGCACAAGTGGAAAAAAAAATCAACTAATTTAAATATGGAAATTACACTACACTATACCCCATATTTAAACTACCTTATTTTTTTAATTTTTCCAGTGTATACTCACTATCCGAGTTTATTAATTCAAAAAATTCTGAAACAAAATTTATAAGAAGTACAATATAACAGATTAGTGTATTTAATAGTAATACTATATAGAATTCTTATTATTGCCAAAAAAAAAGGCTTTTTTTATCCAAAATAAAAACAAATAAAAAACCATTTTTCAAAACAAAACAATATCCAATTGAGTAACTCATGCTTAGCATTTGCACCTATGAGAATTTTTTCTTCGATTCATTTAGCCAATAAACATTAAAGAAGTGCCCTGTTATTATGCCTGTTATTACAAAAACAAGGTCTACATCAAATTACAGGTGTAATCAGCAGTAGATAATACATTGTTCTGCATTTGGAATAGTCTATATAATTGATCCCCGAGAACAGTTGATACACAGACATTATACCTAAACTCCCAGTTTTTATTTTTGGAATAAGATAATATTCAATTATTTTTGACACTTTATTCAATAACTTGTCAACTATGATTTCCTTAATATTTATGAGTAATTCATTTTTATGTGACAAAATATCCTGATAATCAAAACCTATTATTATAATAATTCCCAATGGTTTTTGCAGTGGTAAAAGAACTTCTCTTGTAATTAAATAGAGTATAATGGTTTACTGTGGATAATGCGCAGTATTAGTTTAGAAAACTATATAAGACAATTCAATTCCTATCAATAAAAAGGACCTTTTATCCTCTCTTCGATTTTACATATACTCTCCGATCCCCAGTGGGTTTGACCTTTTGACTTTGCTATAGTAAAAGGAAGACCATCCCAGATCAGGAACGACAACCTTTTGACTTTGCTATAGTAAAAGGAAGACTATCCCAGATCAGGAACAACAATCTTTATTCTTATCTAAAAACTATTCTTAAAAAGTTAACGATCCCCAGTGGCATTGATTCTGCGACTTAGTTACAAGTGCCAGAAAAGAAGTACCAAATCGAAACTTGATTAAAGTATTCCAATACAGCCCAACGGGGGGGTCGAACCCCCAACCTTGAGATTAAGAGTCTCACGCTCTACCGATTGAGCTAGCCGGGCACTTCATCTATGATAATTGTGTTGCAAGCAACTCAGGCTGTAGGCCATGTTGTGGTGTCCAGTACCGGAAGGTCAGTCTGCTTGGTGGGTTTGTCCGCTGGTTTGTTGTGACGTGTCGTCCCGGTTATGAGATGCTGACGTCAACGGTTTGTTGATGTGGTGCTGTGTTCTTGGTGGTAAGAGGAGAATTTTTCTGTGTACAGGAAAAATCTCATTTCCATTCCCTGTTTCTTCTACACACCATATTTTTTTCTTTTCCCTTGTCAACATATTCGTCTACATTGTACTCATTCAAAATCATGGTCATCTATGCTAGTAATATTCCTCTTCTACAATGCACATAATTCATCTTGCTGACATCTCTGCACAACATCAGTACCTTTGTTATTATATTTTTACCATATTTTTATTCATATATTTTATCCTTACTGTATCAATTATTTATCATTCTATTTTTACTATCTTTATTTTTCCAAGCTTCTATTATCAACTTAAAATCTTGTCGACTATAAAAAGAGAAGCAAACTCAACTTAATAAAATTATTAATCAACCACTGCAAAAGGAGAGTGGATTTGGTCGAATTTTATTTTTTGAATTTTGGCAAAATTTGGAAAAATATTTTAAACACTATCATTTTCAATATTTTTTTTTTCTTGAGATGTGAATTTGCAATTTTTTCTGATTATATTAAATAAACACAGATGCAAACACAAATATTTATTAATTAGGCAATAAATCGTACAATTGTCTTAAAAAATATATGTTTCGATTGATTTGGCAGAAAAATAAAAAATAAAAATAAAGTGTTAAATGTTAAATGTAGTATTTAATTATTTTTCTGGAAGAAAAAACTTGTTGTTACAGATGCATCAAATTTAAACTCAATAATATTTTTATTGTATTGCAAAAAATACCAATTTTTATTAGAATATAATTATGTATGCTATATGACTTATTTTTAATAAGAAAGTATATCAAAAAAATTGAAAAAAAGAGCAAGAATTGATGTCATAAAAAAATACAAGAAAAAGAAAATCCAAAAAAGGCCACTTGCCAAAATGAGCAAGAATTGATGTCATGTTAAAAAAATGCGAAAGAGAAAAACTACGTCATTATATCAGTGATTATTAAATTGAAGCCCCATTAATAATCAGGCACACTTTTTTAAGAAAAGATTGCTGTATTAAAATCTGTTTGTAATTCTTACTAATAGGGATGGTAAGCTCAATGTAGTCAATGACATAGTGAACAAGATATATCAACTCATTATTAATGACAAAAATAAAAGGCATATAAAAGATAAAAATAAAATATATATACTTCTTTATTATTTTATTATTATTAATATTATTCTTACTGTTATGAATTCTACAACTAAAATCTATACTGTTATATCTATATGTTCATTATATATCAAAAATATAATCAGCAAAACTTTGTTAAATGCACAGACCTTTAAGCATTATAATGATGCTAATAATTTATTAGACATTGGTCCAAAAATCGAGGTAAATGACATTTGAGTAGTATGCGCATTACTGAATAAATAGTAATCTGATATTTTTTTGTTAATTATCAGTTAATACAGAAGTTGTCAAAGAAGAGACAGACATTGAGATGGGATATGTATCTGATACATTGATTGACTGTGAGTATAAAATTTCTTTTTAATAAATCATAATTTAGATAGCTAATAGTCTGGTTTTACTATAGATGAAGACAATTATTCTATTGTATCAGCCGAAACTACCATACAGAGTGTATCTTTTTTGAGAGAAGACGAGATTTTTCAATTCGAAGAGTCTGATGTCAAGACAACATCATTGGCTTCTGACAATGACGATTCTGATTCAAGCAATGAGTCTGAAGATGAGAGCAAAGTTGAGGTTGCCGGTGTTGAAGATTTTAAAGACATGGTTACTTCCAGTATGCATACATTTAAAAAAGAAATATACATAAATTGTGTTACAAATAATTAACAGAAATACTTGCCTTTGTAGTTGCTTCTTTGAAAATTCATGAAATGTCTCAAACAAGCCAATTCATGACTCTATTTGGCATTATCTTTCAGGCATTTTACTTGGTTCAAGCAGGTAGAACTGCTATGTTGAAATTCTTCTGCCATCTTCTTGTTGCCTTTGATAAGGATACCGATCTCCCACTCACCATTAATGCATTAAAGACTATGACCGGCTTCAATTTCATGACAAAAAGCATCGTCAAATACACCGTCTGCAACAAGTGCTTTGCAATTTACCTACCAGGCAATCGCCAACCAAATTGCACATTTGAAAAATACACAACCACACCACTAACATACTGCGGAAATCCTCTTTTCTCTGACACCGAAGCTGATCACGCCGTCCCTCTCATGGTTTTTCCATACAACTCACTCAAGAATGCATTGGCACAGCATTTCGCCAAACCTGGGTTCGAGCATCAAATCGTTCAATGGAGATCAAGGGAAACCGTAAACAGTACCTTGTTGGACGTCTATGATGGTGCAATGTGGTCTGAGCTCCTTGATGAAGATGACAAGCCTTTTGTGAATCACGACCATTCTTTGATGTTGACATTGAATGTGGATTGATTTCAACCATTCAAGGGTCGTACACATGCAAGTGGGGCCTTGTACCTGTCAATGAACAACCTGCCTAGGGAAGAAAGAATGAAGCCAGAAAACATTATCCTTGTCGGTGTCATGTCTGGTCCAAAGGAAGCGAAGATTGACCAGATGAACAACTTCTTGGAACCTCTGGTAGATGAGCTGGTAGAGTTATACGGCAGCATAACTATGAAAACTCCAGAGTTCCCCAATGGTACTAGTATCCGCACTGCTCTTATGTGTGTTGCTTGCAACATACCTGCTGCAAGAAAGACTGCTGGATTTACAGGATTTGCAAGTACAAACGCCTGTCACATATGCAAGCGTCATTTCACTGTTGTTGCTGGAACAAGTAAGATCAATTATTCTGGATTCAATCATGAGAACTGGGTCTCCCAAACAAAAGAGGAAAATGCAACCAAAGCTGAGATGTGGTTCTGCGCAGAATCTGATGCAGAGAGAGCTGTTTTGGAGAAGCAGCATGGCACCCGTTTTTCCGAGTTGCATCGCCTACACTACTTTGATCCCGTCTGATGCACGATTGTTGATCCCATGCACAATTTGTTTCTTGGGACAGCAAAGCGTATGATCAGTGTTTGGAAAGACCTGAGGTATCTCCCAACTGCTGTTCTCGTCCGTATGCAACGTCTTGCCGATGATATTCTTGTTCCTCCTGGGTATGCCGTTTTATCAACAAAGATCAAATCTGGTTTCCTGTATATGAAGGCAGACAAGTGGCAATCGTGGTGTCTGATTTATTCGTTGGTGGTACTAAAAGACGCTTTGCCTGAAGACGACTACAAAAACTGGACTCTCTTTGTAAAAGCATGCCAAAAGTTGACCGGTCCTTTAGTCACATATTCAGAAATTGACAGCGCACACCAGCTCCTTGAAGAATTCCGAAAAGAGTGTGAGACTCTTTATGGAGAGAGCAGCATCACGCCAAATATGCACTTGCATATGCACTTGTGTGAGTTGATGCTTGACTTTGGTCCCGTATACGCATTCTGGCTGTATAGCTTTGAGAGATACAACAGCAAGTTGAAGAACATCAAGACAAACCGTTGCAATGGTCTTGAGGTCACCTTCATGAGAGTCTTCCTGGAGAAAGCATTCATTGGTAGCTTTCTTCGAGCATATTCTACCAATCTTTCATCACCACTAATAGAGTTCCTTGAGGGGGTTGCCCAAGTAAAATCAAATTCCGACAGCTCTTCTCCCTTGAATTTGGATGCTGGCCACCCTCCTGCGTTGCCATTTAGCTTAGCAATGTTCCAGCAAGCTGCTACCAATCCATGATACAATGTCACCGGAAGTGAGCCCTTGCCCCCAACCACATTGCCAATCAAGTTGCAGCCTTTGACTATGATGAAGGATGATTACTATCAGTGGTTATTTGAATTCTATGTCAAGGCTTACCGGAATACAAGTGTTTCCTTCTGTGTGGTTGGGAGAATCCCAATTGGTGAGAATGTATTTGTGAACAATCGGATTCAAAAGGTGAAGAAGATTTCGTTGCTGGGGCAAGAGTACTGCAGTGGTGAAAAGAAGAAGCACGGGTCTTTTGTGAGGGTATTGTTTCTTGAGAGAACAAATGACGATGTATCTGAATTCCCTGGTCAAATAGAGTATTTATTTACTCATACCATCAAGATTGGTGGAGTCAAAAGAGTGTCAACGTCCGCATTCATTAAATGGTTTCCCGCCTACCATTCAAGTAGTAATCAGCCATTAGCTGATCAAGATCTGCAGTTGTGGGACAAGGGATTTATGGAAGAAGATGCTTTGTGCATTGTTTCAGTGCATCATCTGCATTCGTGCTTTGCATTGACTATGCATAAAATGCAGAGTGGGACGCAAAAGCACCTGGTTATTCTACTGTCTAGAAAAGTAGTCACATAAAAAACAGAAAAAAATAACAACTATTTAGGTTACCAGTATAAATAATTATAATACGAGTTTTTTTGAGTATAAAAAGATTTAGCTTTATTTATCTCTGTATTCTTATTTAGTTTTAACATTACTTCTTTATTAAGTATTTAAAAGAGCAATAGTAAATTATATTACCAGTTTTTTTAACTATTAACGAATAGTAAAAACCATTATTTATTTCTCTTGCTTTTATCAATAATATAAAAGACAAAAAAACTTGTATATTTAATACCTGACATTTACCATTTTCTTAGTCTTTATTACATATTCTTGCTAATATCAGTATTATAATTTCCAATAAAAAAAAACGAGGATAAAACAATCAGGGTTATATAATTAAATAATTGCTTTGTATATATATTTTTTTTATTAATTGGCTTTAAAATAAAATAAAATAAAATAAAATAATAATTTATTATTTTGATTTTTGATTTTGTCTTTTTCTTTTTCCTTTTATTTATATATTAATTGCTTCTCATCTTGACAATACCGCCTGATTATATTTTACCACTTCACCCCACATCATTCAACACAATCAATAAAAATCATTAAAGTACTATATGCACTTTGTAAACAAAATAACGATTTATTGTTGGTGTGTGTGAATCCAAGCAGCAACACGTGCCTTTTTCTCATTCGATAACTCAGTGTTTCTCAAAATAATTTGATAGACAGAATTGCCAATGACGTCTGGTCCCTTGTTAGCAAGTCTCTGTTTCTTCAAAACAGTAAAGTATTCATCCACCTGCATTATAATATAAATACTTTTGAGTTAGAAGTATTAAAAAAAATAACTTTTATCATGAGAGCCTTACCAAGGGATGTCTATTTCTAGGAGTATATCTAGTTTTATTTTTCTCCTCATCTGACTCAATATCAGACAACATGTCATAGTCCAGAAGGTCCACGACAGTCTCACCAAACTTAGACTCAAGGTTTGCCTTGTCAGCTAAGTGAATTGCCTTGTAGTCTGCAAGAATCTGAAAAAAAAGTTAAAATAGTTTACACAAAAACTGTTGACTATACTTACGTTTCTCTTTCTGGACCGGCGTCGAGAAATCCAATTTTGTTGAGCTATCTTTTCTGGCAAAGCTTTTGCCCTTTGAAGCATATATGAAATATGTCTTCAGGTTTTCTCTTCTACAACTGCAGACGAAACAGACTTTATTTCAGCTTGCTGATGTATGTAGCTCTGCACTACATCAGCAATGGGATGGTTGGATGTTGAGAAGGCGCCCTCATTGACTGTCAATGGCATTGTTGCCAGAACTGCTCGTGTTTGAGAACAGATCAATCTCTGCAAAATATAATGTAAGTAACTTTGCAATATTCTATTACTAGTATATATCCTACCAAAACCGTTGGAAGGTGGTACTTTATATATTCTCCTGTAGTAAGAGCCTGACCAATGGGACTATGGTTCGAATTGTTATTCTGGCCATTGGTTGCTCCCATGTTGTGGTAGACCTTCTCCAGAAGTAAATGAGATTAATTCAGTTGGGTGCTCATGGTGAACAAAGTGGATAGGACAGTACCATCTAGCTCTGCGCTAACTGTCAAGCTGGGAAGAATTTCCCATTGTCTTGTGCTTGCTGCTGTCCCAGTGGTTTGTTGAACAGACTTTTTTGTAGTTGTCTTTTTCGTTTTTTTGGTTTGCTGCATATTAGAAGACATGAATTGAGATATTTAAGGCTAAAGAAAGAAATTGAAACAATGTGAATACTTTAATAATTAGAGTCGGGTGTCTTTAAAATAATAAATAAAATAAAATAAATCAAAACATACGTAAAGGTGGAAAGTAAGATACCAAAAGATTATTTTTCTGATGATGCTCTTTATAGCATTTTGATCTCTATATTATACTTTTCTTTAGAAGCCAACTTGGAAAGGCATTTGTAATAGCTTACATCCATTATAAAAATATGAGAGATTATGGCTTAGTACGTAATGTCTTGTCTCAATTGGGATGGGTTGAATAACTTTCAATTTGCTTAATTAGTTCTATCAGTTTCTCAGGGTCAACGGTCATAAAATTATAATTTTGAATTTCTTCCGTTTTTTTTAAATTTTTTTCTTCTTCTTCTTTACTTCTTTCTTAATGTCTAACATGGTAAGCATCAACTCACATCAAAGTTTCAAGACCTAATCATCTTGTTGTTTTTATTCTAGCATGATACACTATGCTTTAAACCACCAAGTCCTTCTTAACTGCCTCAAAAATAATGATAAAAAGGTAATAAAAATATACTTGAATATTTATTCACGATTTATATATTAATTATTCTGCTTAGATTTTTCTGGCCCGTTAACAAAGACATATACCTTGGGAGGGTTTACAAAATGGTATGTTGTATAAATATTAACATATACCTTCAAGATACAACTTGTATTTATTATTATTTTTATGTATATCATACATTCTATAGTCATTGGTCTTTATCTTGGTCCTCTTTTTTTTATTATACACTGACTCTTATTCTTTACAGATAGACAAGTAAGTAAATAAGCATTCTATTTCTTTGTATATAATTCTAATGAAAAGAAATTATTTTATAGATAATATCTCTATTTCCTGCATGCCGCCTCTTCTACTGTATTAAATAATTGGTAAGCAAAAAATAGTCTGATACTCTTTATTTCATTCTAATAAAATATTATATTTTATAGATAATGCCATTGTATTTTCTGTTTGTCAACTCTTCTGTTTTCTGAACTGTTTAGTAAGCAAACCATAGTCTCATTTACTTTGCATCGTATTAACAAAAGTTATTATTTTTATAGACAATATTACTATAATTGAGACATTTAACTAAAACATTGATATATCTATCTTTATGTTAAAGATATCCATTGGTTCTCATACTTAACTTTATTGTAAGTACATTCATATTTTTTAAATAATCTGTTGCTTTCAAATAAATATACCAAGAACATTCTTTCTAATCTATTCTATAATTATTTTTTATAAAAGTAAATAAACAGGCCAAGAAAGCATGCCGCAGCAAGCAATGGAATACAGTAGGGGTCGATTGCACCAGAGGTAGACCAATGGATATACAAAAGGAATGATATAATATTCACTAAAATAAATGATGGCATCATGAGTGTGATGTTTCTACCCAATTGCAACAGGAAACAATTAGTGATGTAAACAATAAGAAATAGCTAGAAACAATAAGAAATAATTTTCAAACCAAAAAAAACCTTTAAAATGACTCATAAACCTCTAAATCTTGACTAAATCTTGACCAAATCTCTTCTTTAACAACTCATATATAGTAATAAAAAGATGTTGAATGTTATGCGCTGTATTTAAAAAAATTCCCCAAAACTAATATAGAATGAAAAATCTGCGGTCTGACAAAAGTGTATCTATATTTTCATGACTAAAATATATCAGATAAAAATATATCACACTTTTTCTTTTTGCATTCCTAAAATTCAGTATACTAATTGTATTTATTTAGCTCACAAATTTTAAAAAATTGGCATCATAAATTCCGATCAAATTCATGCTGAATTTTATTTATTGAGACAGTATTTGATCAAGATTTAGTATACTGAATTGGCCCTCCTTTTGCAGTGGAGTGCCTCGGAGAGAGCACAGAAGTTGTGTTTTACAAAGTCTACAGAGCGAGACTAAATGACATTTGTCAAAAAATTAGCTGCTTTGCAATAGACAAAATCAAATTAGAACTATCAAAATCAATCATATCTGAAAAATTAACCAAAGAGTACAAATGTCTCTTACACTACAACTATCTCCTAACATGCTATCATACACTTGCTACTTTTAATACAATTCCAATCTCTCTAATTCCAAGATGCTGGAGAAAAGATTATCTAGAAGGAGAAGGTAATACGTATAATAGTTATAACATTATTTTCACATATAATATATAATTGTATATAGATCACTTGACAATTAATAACGTAGAATCAGTACCAGCAAACATTGCTAAAATAACAACTATATTGCCTCAATTTGATTATGATTTTGAGCTTGTTTATGAAGGCTTTCACAGTACACACAGCAAACAAGAACAAATACATATATATAACTTAGTAAAAAACATACTAGAAAAAATGACTAAGCAGAAACTTGAGGATCTTAATGATCCAACAATAGTGGAAGCCATCAAAGGCCGACCCAAAAATACAAAGTATAAAATGATTGCATTAGAGCACTGTATTGAAGCTGAAAAAGAAAAAGATACAAAAAAATTAAAATAGCAAAAGAACAAAAAAGTGAGTATTTATTTGTAATACATTATATAAATCTGTTTCACTCAAGTTTTGCTCTATTTTCTAGAAAACAAATATCCTCAACTCAAAAGCAAAAAGCCTTGCAAAATATCACTAATCTTGGCTTGCCAATCAATCACACAATATTAACAAATCTTATCATTGCTCCTAAACATATAACTGAAGTCTTTTCTTCCGAAGCAGATGGTAACTGTGGATACTGAGCAATAGCAATGGAAATATACCAAGACTAGAAGAAATGACCTGAAGTTAAAGAAAATATGCTAGAAGCATACTTAAAATATCAGCATATATATTACCAGGAAAGAATGGAGAATAGTAACATGTCTGCATCCACAAACCTGCTTATCATACATCTCAAAGACAAAAGATTACTCCTCCCACAGCAACATTGGTTTGGAACAATTGACCATCCACAACTTGTAGCAGGTGCGTTCAATAGATCAGTAGTTGTATATTGGAACACTTCAAGAGAAACAGGCGACTGTCTCTTTGTTCTATTAACTACCACACCATAAAAATTCGAACCAATAATCATTATCTTGGACATCAACCACTTTCTTCTTGCAAAACATAAATCTATCAGAAACTTCACTTGGCCAAAAAGAAATTCTTTTCATAAATCCATAGTCAAAAGATATGGCCTAAGCAACAACTTGATCATATATTAATTACTAAAGTATATATTTTGTACTTGAATTAGCATTGATAATATTAACATTAAATATTAGGGAAGCATATGGACAGTCTGGCGGGACTGCCTGAAAGGACAGCCTGAAAGTGTATTATGTCACCTAGTCACATATTTGGGCAAATGTCATATTGGCAGGACAGCCTGGGCAGCCTGGGCAGCCTGGGCAGTCTGGAAATATGTTACTAAACTTACTTCACGTATTTAGACAAATGTTTATTTTTTTGGGCGGAGGGGGGGAGGGGGGACTATATAAAGTGTTCTTTAGTTTGCCAATAAAATCACTGCCCTTTTTTTACTACAACATCAGCGCATAATTTTTTTGACATTCTAAGATGAGCAGCATCAACAACACCAATGACCATGTCATTGTTAGTGAGACTTCTTCAAAGAAGTACAATGCTGCCCTGATCGAGTTCAATTCGATATTTCTTGTTGGAAGAGAATTCTTTTCAACTGTAGCTGTTTGTGAAGCTACCAAAGCATATGGTTTTAAGCATAATATTGCATTCACTACTTATTCTTCCTCAAGCACCCGTATAAGAATGATCTGTAAGCACTACGGGGAATATAGAGACACTAGAAAGACCGAAAAATTGTTCCAGAAGTCTCTGTCAACCAAGAAACCCCTATTCCTGGGTGGGAGAGACAACGCGTAAAGGATACCCAAAAGAGTGGCTGTCCTTGTTTTGTGTATGCCTCAAAAAAGAAAGATGGAAAGATTGTAGTCCACTCCCGCGAGGCAAAACACAATCATCGGATTGTGGAAGACCGCAGAGCATATGCCATGCATCGAAAGCTTGAACCTGAAGCCATGGCTCTTGTTGTCCGACACCTTGAGGAAAACGATGATGTATCCACCATCTTCAATAACTTGAAGAGAAGTGGGTACACCAATGTTATCCGTCAAGATATCGAAAATATCAAACAACAATTCGGAAAGTCAGAAGAAGGAAGAGAAATGTTTAGTTTCATTACTGCATTGCAAGAATTGGACTTTTATGCCCGGTACAATGTTGGTGATGATAAGGAAAACAAAATCAACATGGTGTTTTTCATCCATAAGGATGCCATTGACGAAGCAAGAAGAATGCCAGAAACCATTGTAATAGACGCTACGTACAAGACGAATAGTCACCGAATGACATATGTCAACATTGTTGGTACCAGCAATGTAAGTGGAACCCCCCGTACGACTTTGAAGACTTTCCCAATTGCTGGAGCTTGGGTGGATCACGAAACGATAGACAACTATCTATGGGTACTTCGCTGTCTGCGCAATTCTGTCTAGCCAGATGTTAATGATAGCAGCAGCAGCAACAAAAACAACCACAACAACACAATCACCGCAACACCTCTACTTCCAAGTGTGTTTATCACTGACAATGAGAAAGAATTAAGGAATGCAATTACAAATGCTTTCCCTGAGTGTAAACAGCTGCTGTGCTATAAGCACATTAAGGATAATTTTAAGAAGCAGCTATTGCCAATGATGAAGGAAGACGAGAATGGGGACAAGAGAGGCTTCTTGGATGAGTTAGCCGGTCATCTTGACCAAATTGCGTTGAAGTGCACCACTTCCGAAGAAGAGAAAAAAGAGATTGATGCATATCTCAGGTTTGCAAAAGACAATTGTAAAGATCAAGGAAAAAGTGCCAAAGCTTTCCTTGAGAGGTATGCAAAGTGCTGTTATATTTGCTGGAAACAGTTTGTTAACGATAAATAATGACATTATTTTTTATATACGTTATCAGAAAAATGCATGACAAAGAGAACTGGCTAAACACCTATGTTTTTAAGCATCCTCACTTTGGAAATCGCACTTCCAACCGTGCAGAAAGTTCACATGCTTCTCTGAAGCATGCCCTTGGAACTTCTTCCGGTAAACTGAAGACAGTTACCATGAAAGTTGTCAAGTGGTATGAAGCGTTGGTACGTCTATGCTTTGTTATCTTAAATATCAATTGATTAAACTTTATAATAACAATAACTAATTGAAATGTTTTTGTAAATTTTACAGGTCTATGATCGAAAGCGCAGATTGACAACGGAGTGTCTCGGAGAGAGCACTACCGTTGTGTTTGATAAAATCAATTCTTCCAGGCTGAATGATATTCGCCACAAAGTTTGTCGTTTTGCAATGGACCACATCAAACTTGAACTTGCCAAATCAATTATACCTGAAAAACTCACAAAAGAGTGCGAATGCCTCATTAACTACAACTATCTCTTGCCCTGCTACCATCAACTTGCGCAGTATAAAAAAATCCCAATTTCTTGCATTCCCAGACGATGGAGAATAAACTACTTAGAAGGAGAAGGTAATGTATATATATATACATATATGTTATTAAACTATTTTCTCTTTTTATATATAATTATGTACAGATCACTCAATTATTCACAATACACTACCTGTATCTAAAAACATCACTAAAATCACCACAATAACACCCCAACTCGCATATAAGCTTGAATGGGTTACTCAAATACTTACCAATGCCCAAAGCAAACAACAGCAAATACATTTCAAAGAATATATCAACAAAATAATAGAACTAGACTCCAAGCAGAAACTTGAGAACCTTAATGATCCAACAGTAGTGGAAGCCATCAAAGACAAACCTAAAAATACAAAAAGAAAAATGATTGCCCTAAAACACTGTCTTGAAGCAGAAAAAGAAGAAACAACAAAAAAAACTAAAACTGAAAAAAAACAAAAAAAATAAGTCTTTATTATAATATATTGTTCAGATTTAACTCATTTGACTTTTTTCGATTTTCTAGATATGAATTATCTTTAGAAAAACAATAGAAAGCATTAAAAAAATTATTGATTTAGGTTCATCATGTGACCATACACTTCTGACTAATCTTATAATTGTCCCACACCAAATATCTCAAATATTCTCTTTGGAAGCAGATAGCAATTGTGGCTATAGAGCAATAACAATGGAAGTATATCAAAACTAGGAGCAATGACCTGAAGTCAAAGACAGAATGTTAGAAAATTATTTAAAATATCAACACACTCACTACTGAGTAAGAATGAAGCACAGCAATATGTCTGCATCCACAAGCCCATTAATCATCAGTCTACAATACAAATGCTTGCCTCTCCTTCAACAGCATTGGTTTGGTACAATTGATCATTCACAACTCGTAGCAAATGCATATAACAGAACTGTAACTGTATATTGGAATACTCCAAGAGAAACCAGTGACTGTCTATTTGTATCATTTACCATTACACCAGATACATTTGAATCTATTATACTTATTCTAGACATCAACCACTTTCTCCTCACAAAACGCAAATTAATCAGAAACTTCAATTGGCTGCAAATAAATCTATTTCACATACTCATAGTAAAAAATCATAATCTAGAGAACTTTTCCATTCTGTATTAACTACCAAGATATGGATTTCATAATGAAATTTCATTCAATAATATTAATATTTATCTTATTTTGTAGATCTTTTTATTTTATTTTCAATGCTTTTTTATTTTATTTTTTGAATCATTAAACATATATCAAAAATCTGACTGCCTCAAAAAAATGAATATTTGTCTAAATATATGAAGTAAGTTTAGTAACATATTTCTAGGCTGTTCAGGCTGTCCAGGCTGTCCAGGCTGTCCTGCCAATATGATATTTGCGCAAACACATGACTAAGTGACATAATACACTTTTAGGCTGTTTATTCAGACTGTCCTGCCAGACTGTCTGTAAGCTTCCCCTAAATATTTTATTTTTGTAGTTTTTTTTTATATATATTTTATCTCTATTTATCTTTATATCAACTTTTATCTTTCTATCAATTTTTATCTCAATTGTCAACTTTTTTATAATTAATATTTTTTGAAACTGTTATGAAATACTCAGATTTGACCCCCCAAAAAAATGGGATTCTTACACTAATTATTTCTGACGTCAGAGATGAAAATATTGTCTTCAAAATCTTGTCCCGTTGTCTTGTCTATAAGGATAGCCTATAATTTTTCTAGAATTCAAGAATTCTGCAACGTCACTGCACTGCCAGACAACTGAAATTTTGTTATGTGCTGTTGGTTTTAAACACTTTGTATTACAAAAGTGATGCGTGATGTGTTAGGTTTGTTGTAGATTATAATAGATCACTTGGCAAATAAAATACAATGATAATAGAATAGAACAGAAGACAGATACAGTAAAAGGCAGCAAGCAGCAATAGTTGACAGATAAGAAAAGAGAGAAAAACTGATAGAATTGTTGTTAAAATTGAAAGAGAGAGAAAGATGTGTGAAAAGAGAATAATGAAACAGAAAAGTAATAATCGACGAGGAGACCAAAACCAACAAACAACCTTTCTAAAACCAAGGAACCAATATGTTATATCACAAGATAGTATAGACCACAAAGAGAAGAAAACAAGAAAAAGATACTGAAAACTGAATGAATGATTCATTGAGTTGAGTTTGCTTCTCTTTTTATAGTCAACAAGATTTTAAGTTGATAATAGAAGTTCAGAAAAATAAAGATAGTAAAAATAGAATGATGAATAATCGATATGGCAAGGATAAAATATATGAATAAAAATACAATAAAAAGATAATAATAAAGATACTGATGTTGCGCGGAGATATTGACAAAATGAATTATGTGCATTGTAGAAGAGGAATGTTACTAGCATGGGGAACCATGATTTCAAATAAGTATAATGTAGACAAATATATTAACAAGGGAAAAGGAAAAAGTATTATGTGTAGAAGGACCAGCGGACAAACCCACCAAGCAGACTGACCTTCCGGTACTGGACACCACAACATGGCCTACCGCCTGCCTTACTTGCAACACAATTATCATAGATGAAGTGCCCGGCTAGCTCAATCGGTAGAGCGTGAGACTCTTAATCTCAAGGTTGGGGGTTCGACCCCCCCGTTGGGCTCTTTTTGACGTATGGCATGTTGTCGTGCCCGAATTCTTGTCAGACAATCAGGATGACGATTACACAAAATTCTCTTTTGAGAACGACGACCAAAGTGATTTCATTTTGCTCACAAAAGTAGAATAGAAACCGAAACAGACATTTATAATGTCAAGTCTCGATCTGGTATTTCTTTTCTGGCACTTGTAACTAAGTTGCAGAATTAATACCACTGGGGATCGTCAAGTTTATGAATAGTTTTTAGATAAGAATAAAGATGCTTTTTATTAAATATATTTCTTGACTATTTATACAAAATAATAATTGATTTCTGACTAAAAGAATAGCTACGATAATATGTCTTAGATACCTGTTGTCCAGTAATATCTTCTACAATTATATTCACCATCTGAAACATCTAAAACATATATGAAAGACCAATCAGCAAAGTCAAGATCTTTTATCCTAAAAAGTCAACTCTTACTGGTTGCTTATAACTACCACTTTTGTTCACCGATGTCAACTCTGACAATAACATCATCACAGATATTAGAAATCAAATATGGTTACTTATTGTACTTAAGTAATATGATTGGCGTATAAAATTTTCTTTTGTGTAATATTGCAAATTAAAAAAAAATCATCCAAATAAAGAAAAAAATAAAGTTCAATGAAGCGGAAAATGAGTTGAAGTAAGATGAAATGTGTATCAAGGAAATTTGGGGGTTGTTTGGAGTAACAAAGAAATGACTTGGCAAAAATTTGAAAAAAATCTATGATTTTTAGAAAAAAACATAAAAATTTTATTAACTATACTAAATTATACTAAGAAATAATAATAAGAAAATCTATGCTAATCCATGTTGCAGATAAAACCAATATGAGCCAAATTTACTCAAGTTAACTATGTAAGTAATATCATTAACTTTCATTAAATCAATCTTACACAGAGGCTTGAGAGAATCGAGAGACATATGATCACTTATCATTTCTACTTTAAGGTAGTTATTTTTCATCTCCTCACTTGTGCAAGCAGTGGGCCAAAGAAAAGTAATATTAAACCAGAGATCAGTCCAATGCTGTGAGTCATGCCAATACTGTTCTTGATAACAAAAGCAGCAAAGGAATTGTCCTTTAAAGTTGTAACATTGTTGGTGTCATTGTTGTCTGCAAAATCGCGTAATCCACCAAGGAATAAGTGCCGGAAAGCTGTATCATCATTGCGCTTGATACATTCTGCAATTTCACTTCCAGGGTACTCATGCTGTCTATTGTTATTAACCCAGGAGCCGTTGTCAAAAATGTGTGGCATGATTGTCTGCTTTGTGAACTTGAGTCAGACATCTCTTGAGGTGTTTAGCCAATTGGTGTGAATCAGATGCTCTCGAATGTGTTTGTTAAACTGTTTGCCTTTTTCTGTTTCAAAGTTGAGGGCAGGTCCAAATCGTCTAATATCTTCCATCAAATAGGTCATGTTGTGGGCTTTTGCCTTGTTACATAAAGACGTGTACTTTGGGTTGTCCACATTTGCTTTGTCAAAGGCATAGAGCTTGGCAGTCAATGTGTTCACAGCACTGTCAACACTGGAAAAATTGAAAAAATAAGGTAGTTTAAATATGGGGTATAGTGTAGTGTAATTTCCATATTTAAATTAGTTGATTTTTTTTCCACTTGTGCTGAAGGTGACGTTCACTGATAGTGGAATGACTAGAGTCAACTAGCGGAATTGTGGGTGGGGGTGCTGCAGGTAAGGTTTGTTAGCACTTTAGATATACTTATCTGACTTGATATATAAAAAGAAAGTTTTTTAAAACTGCGTATCTATTTTGATATTCTTTATATGAAACTGTAAAGGTCAGGCACCAACATATTATGAAGATTAAAAGTAGCATAAAGGTGATTTTTAAGCTAGTTTATTGTTAAGAAGTTTGGTCATCAGCAGCAAAAAAAGGCATCTTTAAAATTATGGACCAGTAATATGTTCTTTATTTATTTGGTTTCCCGTTCTTATTAGGCTGGTAATGGTTTACGCTTTTATTTTTATTGGAAAGAATAGAATGTTTCTAGGTTTCAGATCTAATAATACTATTATATATCTCTAGCTACTTCTTGCTCAGTTGGTTTTTTATATTTGGGGTGAAAAATTTTCTACAAAAAAGAAATATCTGAAAAAAAATGAGCTGCTCAATACGTTTTTTTTTGGGATATGAGCAGTACTCTTTGAGAATAGATAAATTGTTAGTAATGGGTGTGCGTGTGTGTTGGATATTTCAATTCTTATAAATCATTAATACTTACATTGGAATTATCTAGTACAAAGACCAAACAATAGAATATTACAAGTAAAGCTATGGAATTTTGATTTCTTTGACTATGAAAATGATTGGAAAAAATTAATTTTTGTGAATTGGGCGATATAATTATTAATTTACATACCCAAAGCAAATGAATTTATTTGTAGATATAGATAATACTTATCAAAAGTCGATATAGTATCTGGTAGTTTTTTTTATTAATAAACAGCATAAGTAATATAATGATACATATAAGAATAGTAAAAAAACAAAAAAGTCTTACCATGTCAATAACAGCAGCATGAGATAGAAGCTTTTGATCCATAGCATGTTTTGGAGAGGGTTGTTCATCTATAGTAAAAATTGGATTCAGTTTGATTAATATTAAAAAGAAATATAATAAATAAATAGATAAAAATATTACCATGTTAGTGGTCATGTTTAGCTATAGAAAATATTTTTGGTGATATGTCCTATAAAAAAGAAAGGAAAAAATCAGGATACTTTTATGAGATGATGGCATGAAGTATATTTACTAACCTTGGCTAATCCGGATGGCCATTGTGAAGAGGATGCATCAGAAGGAAACTATACGCGAGTGACTATGATAGCAGAAACACTTGTTATTACTCAGCTATATTTGAAGAAATTACTAATAAAGAAAAATAAAGAAAAAAAGCACCTTACCAAAAACATTTGCAAGTATAAGAGTAAAAGAGAAAGAAAGAAGTAAAAAGAAAAGAGAGGGCGAGTGTCTATGGCAACTGAAACAACTAATTCTTTTTAGTTATATAAAAAAGTACTTTAAAAAAGCAGATTTAAAAAAAAGACTAATAAAAAAATAAAAAAATGGGTGGAGACAGTGACAAAGAGTGTGTCTATGGCAACAGAATAAATAAATTCTTTTATTTTCTATAAAGAAGACTTTTTAGAAAGAACATGTCTTACACAAATAGTTTGCAAATATAATAGAAGTTGCAGAGATAGAGAAACAAAGAAAAGACCAATAGCAAATATAAAGAGCAAAAAAAGAGAAACAGGAACAACAACAAAAAAAGAAAAAAAAGAAAAAAGAAAAGTGCGTTTGAAACAAAAGACTAGACTGGTTTGATCAATTGGGTTCTAAAGCAGTATGAAAGCCGATTTGCATCTCAGTGATTACAAGAAGTATTAATAGAGACTTATATATCAAAGATATGCTGAATATCTATATAAACCATACGTTTTATACAATTTGTTTACTCTTTCTCCTGCTTTCTTGCTACTTATTGCACTCATACTCAAACACACACACATCAACCCATTTTATTTCAAATAATTTAAGTATATAAATTTGATATAATTTATTTTTAATTCAATTCAATTCAATTATATAATAGCATCAATAACAATGTAATCTAAAATTAACAGTTACATTTTTACCTTTTATTATATTCTGTAGACAATGGCTATTCAAAGACGTCAACTTGCTCTTCGTCCCGTTGAGATTACAAATGAACAATTGATGGAAATTCTTTCTACTTTGAAAACTAATATGACAGCCATGGGAACCAACATGGCAGCTGACATGTCAATTGTACAAGAACAAATCGGCACTGTTGAAGATACATTGCTAAACATGAATAGCAGAATTGGTGTTCTTGCCACCAGCAGCACTGAGACAATCACTGCTATTGACAGTTTAAGCAGAGCCCCCCTCGTTTCCCCTACCAATACAATGGCTAATGTTTCTTAGCCTGCCTTCAACGCCCCGTCTGAGTTTAGCAAGAAGGCCTCTAATGATGTTTATGTGAGTATCAACGTGTGCAAAATTTTATTGATGTATTTTCTCATATATTCTATCAGGCCCATATTCGTAATCTCATGTGGGATCCCAAGTTGAAAACAAGAAATCAAGCTGATATCCTGGCAAATGAGAGTAAGCCCAGATGGAATACAAATGTTTTCTTTTACAAGTCGCCAAACAAGGAGTTGGTGGTGCGACTTCTTGAAAACTTGAAGCGCAAGTTTACCCATGAGGGATTTAGAGAGGCAGACTTGAGAGCAAGACTGCACAAAAACTTCACCAGCCAGGTTTCAAAAGCAAGAAAAACTGAAGAGGAAATAAAAGCAACAAACACTCGTTCGAGAAGGGCAGGACGTGCCAGAGATGTAAGTGTAATCTCTAAATAAATAATTCAAAATAATATAGTTTAGTCTTGAGAATTTTAAAAATACTAATACAAAAAAACTACTATTAGAATCATACTCGCCGTTTACTTGCATACACAGACAACAAAGAAGCAATTGATCTACAAATGAAGAGAGATTGTGACTTCACGATGCAAATGGCAGCAATGTCCGATGGAGAATCTGCAGATGAAGACTTCGAGAATTGCACGAAGAGCATCGTCAAGATTGTTCGGCCAGGATGGAGAAGTGACGAGGTATATTATTTTATATTAATAATTATGTCTTATTATAAAAAATATAAAGTGAAGTATTAACAAAATCATTTTAGTTCAATACTCTCATTAAACTCGTTGATGAGTACGTTATTGAAGCAATGGGGTCAAGTGCTTCTCAAATGAAGGAGACGGTTTTCACCAGTGTGTCCAATACAGCAGTCCCAGATGACATAACCCCCAAATTTCCTCAGTGGGCCCTTAGAGACAGGTATTAAATAAACAAAAATTGCCTCTCTCTTTTTATCTATATATTACTTTTCACATACAAAATACTATCAATATATATATCAGAAATACGCGCTCTGTTTTTTTTGTTAAAGAAAAAGAAATGTAAAAGTTCACTTTATTTATTATTTAAGCATATGGCTTCTTTGGCAATGGAATTACCAGCATTTTGCTAACATTTCTACTTGTCGCAATAGTAGCTGTAGCAACCTCTAATAAGATGCGATGTACAGATATAATGCTATGATAGCTATCAGGAGAGAACGTGGGCAAACAAAATTCAACACCGTCATCCTCACGCGACCTATCAGAGGAAGTACGAAACCACTTGATAAATGCGAATACATGTTGATGATCATGAACCATGCGAGTCAGATGGAGATTGTGCGTGGGTGGAAGTTGGAAGGAGTGTGTAAAAAGATACTGAATTTGTCCAGCAAATCCAAGTATAATGTTTCCATTACTACCAACAAACTTTGCCTGAACAAGTGATCTGCAACTGATTGTGCTGTTGTTTGTTCCTCGATAGTGTTGACCAAGAATGTCAATTGACTTCAATTTGATGATTTGATTGTCAAATGCTGGGTGATTATAGGACGTGTCCTGATAGCTGGCAAGGTCTGGGAGGTTGTAAGCGACTTGGTAATATTCAAGTAAATGGAGATAGTTGGAATCATCCATTACTGATGGCTTTTTGTATTTTAGAGGAAATGTAGAAGGAGGAAGAGGCTCGTTACCCTTGGGTGGATTATAAGGATCAGTGTAGCCTTGAACGAATGCTTGCAATCTGAATGGGCGACTGGAGAGAGTGGTGACTGTGGCGGCAGGTATGGAGGTTGTAACAAGTTTAGACAGAGTGTGAATGAAGGGGATCTGGCTAGAACTTTTAAGAACAGCATTGACATAATCACCCTTATACGCATTCTGAACAAAATTTTTCATGTAGGTCGCCTCAAAACCGTCTTTGCCATTTGTCTTGAAATTCTTTAAAATACCATTGTATCACTCAAACCCAAAGAGCCAATAACCATACACTGGTCCAAAATCACGAATGCATTCATGAAGATGGAGGTGTAGGTGCATATTGCAGGTGAGAATAGTGGCGGTATAGTCTACGTTACATGCATTGCAAAACTTTTCTAACAGGCTGTGGGCAGTGGTGATCTCATCAAAAGTAATGCTGGGCTTTACGTAGTATCGGCATGCATCAACGAAATACATCCAGTTCTTGAATTGTAATGGAGGGAGAATACCATGCAACAAGACAGGAGAATAAACCAGAACCCATGATTTCCACTCGTCCGCTTTCATGTAGCTGAAGCCCTTTCCAATTTTGGTTGTCAGTGTGGTGTAATCTCTGGGTAGTACCATTGTCTCTGCAATTTTCTCCATCGAAGCAAACTCTTCAGGTCCAATTGTCTTCTCATCAATCCACCGATCCATTAATCTCTTAGACGTCCCCAGGAAAAGATTATGCATGGGATCAATGATCGTTCCACGTACTAGATCAAAGTATCCAAGGCGTTGCAACTGCGACCATCGAACACCATTTTTGACCTCCAGCTGATGCCTTTCTGAGAGTGTACTTGCATCCTTCCACTCCTCAGCATGCAACCTGCTCTCTGCACCACTGCGGATATTCCAACGAGAATAATTGAATCCACGGAAATCAACCTGGTTGCTGCTCCCTAACCGAGTAAACTGCCGGCTGCACCTGTAACAAGCACATGTGCTGTTATGCGCTGTGAATCCACTTGTCTTTCTGGCGGCTGGGATATCACATGCAACCATCAGTAGTGCAGCACGAACACTGACACCATTTGGGAATTCGTGTGTAGGAATCCGCATGCCAACATACAGCTGCTTCAAATCATCCACCAAGGGCTCCAAGTAACTATTGATCTCGTCAGTTTTTGGCTCCTTTGGACCAGGCATGAGACCTACAAGAATAATATTCTCTGGCTTGAATCTTTCATCACGGGGCAAGTTGTTGATGGCCAGATAGATAGCACCAGAGGAGTGAGTGACACCATCAAAGGGCTGGAACCAGTCGATGTTAAGTGTTAACATTAGTGAGCGTGGGTCCAACACAAATGATACACCATCCTTGTCCTTCAACTCCTTCCACATCGCACCATCATAGACATCGCACAGAGTATCTACCATCTTCAACTCCTTATTCCATTGACAAATCTTGGCTTCGAAACTAGGGCGACGGAAGAAAACGCTCAATGTATTTTTAATGGATTGGTAGACATATTCACGCTTTGCAACCAAGGCACTGGAAGATATGGATTTCGTCAAATTACAGTTGTATGCAGACCTGGCACCAAGTTTTGAGGAAACACATCGAGGAGGAGCAGATATGATATCCTGATATACTGTATGACAGTCTTGGTACACCACAAATTTCTTGATGCCTTTTGTAATAGCAGAAAATCCTGTCATTTTTTGTAAACCGGCAAGACTGGTTGGTAATTGAAAATCTTGGTCGTAGATTCTCAGCAGGTTGTTGATAAACTCAATCAAGACAGCAGCACCCTTATCAACAACATGACGTGAAGCAAATAGTACCGTAAAGATGGCTATGAATTGATGGACTTCATTTTCGGGCATATCAGGAGCAGCAAAAGGGTCTGTAAAAAATTAAAAAAAATTAACACTTGATTTTTCTTTTACTATCTTTTTCTTTTAGTTTTCTTTATATATCTCACACTGACCTTCACTGTTGAAGTCCTCAATCTCGATCTCATTGCCTTCATCTTCAACATTGTCATCGAAATCATTGTCGTCTCTGTCATTGTCAAACATTGAGGCGGCATCCAAAAAAGGTGAGTTGGCCTGACCGTCCATTGCTTCCACAGAATCGGAACGAGAAGTCGGGATTACTACAAATATGGAATATAATAGTTTATTAGTTTTTTTTTCTGCTTTCAAATAAAAAAATTCTTACCCTCAGTATCTACATCCATGTTTCTCATTGCGGCTGTGTTTCATTAAAAGTTTAAAAATAAACAACATAAATAAAAAATAAAAAATAAAAAATAAAAAATTAAAACAATTATTACACAGCAAACAAAAAACCAACACTGAATATATTATACTATTCTCAAATATTCTGGTATCTTCAACTCTAGCTCTCTTATTATGACGAGTCTCAATATGCTTTGCAGCATAAGAAGATTTCTGATGACTGTTGTGACATTTAATGCAATAACAGTCTAAGATGTGGGTTTGGGTAGAGGGAAACATATTGTGTATAGCTTGAATTATAAAATAAAAAAGGAAACAAGTACTACAAATACTTTATTTGATGTGATTTTATAGCAAGCCAAAAAATATGAATTTTTTATTATCTATCTAAACCAATAGAATACGTCAAAAATACACCCTCAACTTAAATAAAAAGACGGCTGAGCTGAAAAAAAACTCTGACATTTCTACTACCTTTCTCGTTACTTAAAGCTATAGTATTTTTTTATTTTTCTAGTTTATCTTATAATAAACAACAGAGACTTTATTGGGTTTTGACCAAAAAAATGACAGTTATGTATCTACGTTCAGCCCAACTGCTATTCATTCTGCCATAGTGAAGCATATTTCATGAAATAACTTTAAAGCATATCTTCAAAATAATAAGAGAAGATCTTGACATTGAAGTAACAAGTAATGAAAAGGCCACACTCAATAGATATACAAAGCTTATATGTGATGATATGGCTGCCCATTCTTTGGTGATTGCTCTTGGTTCTGATTCTAGCTGGAGGTTTATACCAGTAGCACTTAAGAAAGAAATATATGTCAGATACATCAATATAATGAAGGATTCTGGTATAGGCTTCACTAAATGTCTTGGAAACTAGGAATCAACTGCAAGAGTTGCTCATTACTGGAGGGACAGTCATAAAAAATTATAATCTTATAAGTAATCCGATGTAGTAGAATTGAATAGAATATTTTGCTATAAAAACCTAGAAAAAAATTAAATAGTTTATAGTCAATAAAATGTATCTATAGATTTTTTATGCTTTAACAGCCAATAAAATAAACAATATAATTTTCTTCTGTCATAACAACCAATAAAAACAATTAATAAAAACAATTTTCTATTGTAATAACCAATAAAAATTTGTATTTATTAAAATAATCAAATATTTACATATATATTATTCAATAAAAAATTGTTTTCATAAAAGTAATAATAAAAAAATTACTAGTATTTAATAGAATTCTTTTCTAAACTAAAATAGTAAAGCAATAAATAACATTTAAAAGAGTACCTTATAAAAGTTGTCTTGTTAAACCGTCATAAAGTAGCCATAAAACCCCACTTTTTTTCCCATAGTAGAAAGAAGAAAACAGAGAAATGAAATAAATCAAGATTGATAGACAACACTCCAATGAATAAGAACATTATGTATGAATGAAAAATAATGATAATAATGCACAAAAAAATAAGATCAAGAATAAAATGATAGTTTTATTGAATAAAAAGATTGTTTCTTTTATAAACAAAAATGTTTAGTTAAAATAATTTTTTGGAGAAAAGAAAAGAAAGTCAAGTGAAAATTTTTACTACATGTAATTAGTGTTGATAGTAGAAGTGGAATAGAAAAATATAGAGAGAGTAAAATAAAAGTATAGTAAAAATATAATAATTGAATAAAGATAAAGTAAAAATATAGTAAAGTAAAATAGAAATAAAGTAATAATATAATAATGATATAGTAAAGTAAAGTAAAAAATATAATAATAATATAATAATGAAGTCTAATAAAAATGTAATAAAAAATAGTGTAAATAAATATTGGCAATAAAGAAGTGTATAAAATTAGGAGAAAGAAGTATAATGTTTTTAGTAGGTGACAAGTGTTTTTAAGGTGACAATGTAGATAAGTATTCTAATTATTTAAGGAATGGAATGAAATGGGGGTTTGGGTATAAGGGGTATTGGGAACAAGATTTCCCAAAAAATCTGGGGGGGCCACTCCTGTCTCTCGAGACATGTCACTCAGTCGACTCACCGCTGGATCAAACCACAAAAGGAACCCAACGTCTGGTGTCCATCACCAGAAATTAGTCAATGCTTGAAATGTTTATAACATACGTGACGCTCAAATCATCTTCGATAGTATAGTGGTGAGTATCCCCGCCTGTCACGCGGGAGACCCGGGTTCAATTCCCGGTCGGAGAGATTTTTACCAATTTGAAATTGGTAGTCACTATTGTCTTTCTAATCTGGGTAGTCTTTCTTGTCAAGTCTTGACTGAGTATATCTTTCTATTTTTTTAACTTGTATAAGTTTTGATAATAGATCACCACCAACCAGGATGTTGTGAATAAATAGAAGCAGATAGGAATATAGAGAATTGAATGCTTTTTATTAATATAAATCTTAGAGTATTTATACAAATTTCGTAAATGTGAAACTATCTAATCTAATTATTTTACCCAAGACATATTGGTTTTACATTTATGGAAGGCGATATAATATGTCTTGGTTAATAAAAAGGGGAACCAATAAGTATAACATTGAGGGCATATGTTAAAAGAAATGACAAATTGGATATCTGACTAAAGGATTTCTATCTATGATGTCAACTCTGACATCCTTTTACTTTAACAAAGTCAAAAGATTAAACCCACTTGGGATCAAGGAGTATACTTAAAATCAATGAAAGGACAAAAGATACTTTTTATTGATATGAATTGAATTGTTTTATATAGTTTTCTAAACTAATACTGTGCATTATTTACAGCAGATATTATATTATATTTAAATAAAAGAAAAGTTATTATATGGTGTGTTTGGAGATAAATATCTAAGTTTTTAGATGATTTTCAAAGTTTCATGACTTTTGCTCTAGACAATTTATAGAGAATTGTTTAAACATGTTTTATAGGGAAGACTCTTTCAAATAATTCTTGTTTAAAAGATTCTAAAAACAAGGCTTGAATAAAAAGTTATGGACCTTCAAAGTCAAGAGGTACCAATAGAAAATAGCAAAGTTTCAACCTTTTTTAATATTGAAATGAAAAAGAGAGTCACTATAGCAACAAATACATTTCAATATTCTTAAAAAGAATAGCTGTGTAATGTAAGATACTATTTTTTTGATTTTCTTTTTATATATATCAGGAATTAAATATATTTTACTATTGGAGTTTTCTTGGGATAAAATTGAAAAGATTTCAAAACTTTGATGTTTATGCTTGAACATACTATACTGCAGTTAATGCTCAAAAAGATGTTACTGCGCATAAAGAAGTACTGCAGTTAACTATCTTCAGATGTTACGGATTCATTAAAATAATGTCTAAGAATATTTAGTTGTGTTGTTTTTGATTCTAGTTGTTCTTTTAATACTATTGTCAGTTCTTGATCTGTTATTTCTTTTCTGGCATTTGTAACTAAGTCGCAGAATCAATATCACTGAGGATTGTTAAGTTTTAAAAATAGTTTCTAGATAGAAAATAAAGATGTTTTTTATTAATTATATTTCTTGACTATTTATACAAAATGATGTTTGATTTCTGACTAAAAGAATAACTACAATAATATATTTTAGATGCTTGCTGTCCAGTAATATTGTCTATGAGTATATTTACCATCTTAAACATGTAAAACATAATGAAAGACCAATTGTCAGAGTCAAAATCTTTTATCCTAAAAAGTCAACTCTTACTGATTGTTTATAACTACTAATTTTGTTCATTAATATCAACTCTGACAAAGTCTTGATCTGATATATCTTTTCTGGTACTTATAACACTAGAAAAATAGAGTAGTTTCATCTATGTTGTAGAGTACTATTATTTATGAAGTGGTAGTCTAAATTTCTATCATTTTTATTTTTTTATTTTCGATGGAAATGATAATGCTTAGTCTGTTTTATTAGATAAAAAAAACCAAGTGTACTCTTTTTTGTAACATATGTCTGCAAGATTGCTTTTTGGGACTTGTAGCCATTTTATATAGTTAATAGTTATAGGGCACTTAAATCAAATAATATTGTTTAAGTAAGATAATACAGCTTTTTATTGTTATAATATTTATTTATAAGTTTCATGAGATTAATGATCATGATATTACCACAAATATTTTTGCTGTATATATTCTACAACTAATAAAATATATATGACAATATGTTTTAACAAAAGTGTATATTATTATATTTTAGAATGAGGCAATCAATTACTGTTTAGAGACCTGCTCATTTTAATAGCTAGAATAAACTATATCATTTTAGTAGCTGGTGTAATTTGGAAAGATATATATTAAATTGCGTTTCTGAAAAATTTTCTATTCTTATCAATTCTAAAAACTTAAAAAATAAAATATACATACACAATATGTTATATAATAATAATTGTTCAGAATGAAAGTACTCTAAATACTTTTCTAATAGTATGAGATTTGTTTTAGTTTCTATCCAAACACTCAGAAGACATGTACAACAAGATATTAGCAACGTTTGGGAAAAGTGTAATTATATATTTCATTTCCACATCAAATATAACAACAATTGATTTTATACTTTTCAGAGCTTACATTACCATATAAGAGTATACGTCATGCTTTAGATACTTAATTTACACTAAACTTCTAAGAAACTCACTATTGCATATCATGACATAAAAATAAAATAAAATATGATGCACAAAAATGAAGTTCTTTTCTTTTGAACAAATAAAATACTTTGCAATGAATCGCAGCATTAATAGAAGAAATATAATAAATATAGCTCATTGATATATACATGAATTATCTGTTAATTCACGTACAGAAACTAAATATATTGAGTATCAAAAAGAAGGTGATCAGAGACTTGTCAAGCTACATCAGTTGGGGAAGCTTGACATAAGTGTATTGGAGAACAGCAAGTATATTTTTCTTTTTAGATTTATATATATACAGATATATCTTATATTTTACTTGCAATTAAAAAAGATTAATGATATATATATTGGTATTTTTTTTTAAAAATCTTCCCTATTAGATTCAATCAATGACTGTAATTCTTGAATTAGAGAAAATGATATACTTCTGTGAGAACATCCCACAACAATACTCTCTTCTGACAGAAGATGCCTTTTTGATACTACTTTGTCAAATGACTTACCCTACTATATTGAAGGATATTTTGATAGTGTTTGGAAAATCCAAAAGCACTATAAGTAAAGTATTCAATAACATAATCAACAAGCTTGTCCAGAAGTTTGAACCCGCTCTTTTATTTGACTATCACCAGTTTTGTAAAACAAAACCTTGTGCACTTTAGCTAAGTAATCTATAGAGCAGATAAAGATAGTTTATGTTTCATTATTTTTTTAAACTAATAATAATATCTATCAATTGTTTGAAAAAGGGGCACCTGTAGAGCACTGTGTTGGGTTTATAGATGGTACATTTTTAAGAACAGCATGACTATGCAAGTTTCAATAAAGTGTATATAGTAGGCATTACATGAATTAAAAAATATAATAAAGATTACTTGTTTTTTTTATTCTTTTCTAACTACCAAATACACCTTGTTTAGAGAGGCTATGGCCTGAGATACTAGACTGTTATAACTCCAGATGGTATTACTTCTTCTTTCTATAAACCAAAAACTGATAGACACTACAATTTATACGTTTACAAACAAAGTAGAATAGAAGACATAATGAAGAAAACATTTGATATCAGAGGCAAAGGTAATCTATGTTATTATCTATATGGGGACAAGACATACACAAGCTCATTGTATAGGATGTGTCACTTTAGACAATGTAAGTTCTAAAAAATATATATTTAATACAGATAAGTCTTTTGAAATTCCATACTTATATCTTAGATTCTTCAAACCCAGATCACAAGGATGTGAATACAGCCATGTCAAGTGTACGCATTGTAGTAGAGAATGAATTTGCTCATGTTGCAAGTCTGTTTGCTTTTATCAAATATCTACAGTCGCAGCATATCTTTCTTTGCCCTGTTAGATTCTATTACCTTGTTGCAATATTGTTGAACAATTTTCACAATTGCTTTAACAGAGAAAAGCAGACCAGTAAGAGGTTTGGTGTTATTTCTCTAATATCAACAGAGTATATTGATGACCTCTTGGGAAATACGTAACTTTTTTTTAACAAAACAAAAAAATAATAATTACTTAAATATGTGTTTTTTTTGTTTAATCTCTTTTATTTGAGAAAAAATTACTGCAAAGGTGAAGAAACAATTGCAGTGACGAGTCTGCAGAGCATATCTTTAAGGTCTAAGATAACCTCTCAGATATCTTTAACCTCCTCAACAATTCTCTCATAGCTATCAGCAAGAAAGAATATCTTTTTCTTCATCCTTTACATTGTTCCAATCATCTTGTAGTCAGTATCAACATCAACCATATCCTTGATTTCATCCTTGAAATTTTTTAAGACAAAGTATGTGTTTGTATTTTCTATATCTTGCTACATTCTTTTCAGGCTATGGCTACCCTCTCTGCCCTCTCTGTCATTTTCAATTCTTCTTTTCTTAGAAGAAGAAGAACTTTGATATAGAAGTTTAACTAATCTTGTTATCCGGTCTTTTATTAACTCATTCCCTCTTTCTTTCTCAGCCATGTCTTCATTCTTCACTCTCTTCTCATCTTCCTTCTCTTTGTTCACATCATTCTTCTTTATAAACAGAGCTTATTAAAAAAAGATATTTAAATAGTACATATAATTCTATATTTGTATTACCAGTGCAACAAGCTCAGCAAGTAGCCTTTTGAGCTCAAGGTATAAGTCGTTATTGCCACTTTCATTCTTGTCTCCATTCTTCTTCTGCTTGTATATCTTAAGAAGATATTTGCTGCGTTTCTTGGTGGCAGTAGGAGAAAGACTTTCAAGATGCTCGTCCATCTAGTTCACAATTGTTTGGACCTTCTTCCAAAGCTCGCCTTTTTTCCAAGCTTCTTGTTGAAGAAATAGACATAAATAAGGGCTTCTACTAAAGTCTCATCTCTCTTTCAGGAGTTATTCCCATATTTCTTCATCTTTTTAAAAGAGTTTTTTAGAGATTGGGCTGCTGTTGATGGATTTTATTGCTTCATATTAATTTTAATAGACAATAATAAGAAATAATAAGAACAGCTATAAAAAACAAGTATATATTTAGTCTTATATTTGTATTCATGCATGTATTTTAAATCTCTGTCATGTAAGCACTTTTTATTTTAGCATACTGAGTTTGGCAAGAGAAAATAACAAATAATGATTGGCTAAAGAAAAGTGTAAAAAAAGTGTAAAGCAAAAAAAAATTTATATAAATTATAAAAAAAAATTTTTTATACTTTTTTTTGGAAGTTAAAAGGAGCCTTTCCTTTTTTGGCAAGTAATTTCCTTTTTAAAAGTATAGAAATAGAACCTCAAATGTTGCTATTGTGAGATAATATTAGCTGTGATTTTTTTATAAATTTAAATTTAAGAAAACTATTATTGAGATAATTTTAATTAAATATTTATTTTCATATAATATAGCCTCAGTTATAGAAGTAATATTGAATAACAATGATATAGAGATTGACTTTGAAGACAACATTGATGCCAAAGATCAAGTTGAAGATACATATAATACTTTTATTAAAGTTTTATAATCATTTATAATACCTAATAATTTGATTCCTTTTTACTTAACAAAACAGTCAAAGACTGACCTCTTTTTGATATTGATTTCTGATTTGATTCTGAAAGCAAAGATGAGAGTGTCATTGAAGCAATCATTTTAAACATTTCTGACAATGAATCTGATGATGTTAGAGATTAGTACAAAAAGCACATATAAATCAATAAAGTCAACAATTATTGATTTTTTTCAGAAGAATACTTTTCTTCATCCAATATACCAGTTAATTCTACTCATGCTTTTATTGCTTCTTTTGCTGCCTTTTTTATATTCAAATATGTTGTCAATTCTGGAGGTGCTGTTCTATTAAAGTTTTTTACAATGCAAAAGACCGCTGATTTTAGTTCCTGAAAACCTGCAAAAATTTTACTACAATTTTCGATTTTTAATTTTTTCAAATAATTTCTATTTTTTTCTGTTGTGATTTCAGATCGCTCTTTTTTAGCTGTAAAATCACACTACCATCATTTTTTTGGCCATAAAATTACAAAATTGGGTTTTTTTTTTTATATTATACACTTCTTTGATATAATTCTAAATTACATTGAAAAAGCACTTATACAAAAGTTAATATAATATTTAATAAAAATTATATATATTCTTAAGGTTTCACTTTTTCTATTTCAAAATAAATCATTTAAATATTTTTTATGTATTATAAATGTGAATATAAAAACAAATATTTAATCCATATATTTCAAAGGAACGAGACAAAAGGTTGTGATTTCATTTTTACTGTGGCAATATTTTTGTGTGATTTTTCCCTTTGATATATGGAACTAAAATATCAGATTTTTTTTATTTCACATGTTGTGAGAGGCGAATGTTCCATTTTTGAATTATTTTTCGTCATGGTCGAATCATCGTCATATCAAATATTATAATTCTAAAAAAAGACTTTTAAAAAAAATTGCGTACACTTTTAGTAATGTGCGCAGTATTTGACTTGGTTAATGACTTAACAATATATGAGTATAATTATGATGATATGTGCGGTAGATGTATCAAAGAATTACTTGGCATACTATAGTCATGGCATGGAGCAGTATTTTATCTATTTATAATTTTTTTTTTGGTATATAAAGACCTTGATCAAGATCTCTTAAAATCTATATAATTTTTTTTATAATTTAAAACAATCGACATGTCCAATAATCAAAAGAAAGACAGTTATGTTATCTGCAAATGTCCAGACTGTACAAAGTTGGATAGCTGTGGAAAGAAACAGAAAAGACAAAATGCACAACGACACTATGAGAAACATATAGTGCCTGTTGCCAAAGACGATGCAATGGGTAAATAACAAGAATAACTCGAGCTGTACATGTAAAATTAATATAAATTAATTCATAAAATAGATGTTCCTGAAGAACATTTTGACGACATGGAAGTAGATAGTATTGACAGTGACAATGACAATGATTATGATTACGAGAACGAAGGCGAAGGCGAATATGAAGACGAAAATGAAGAACAAAACATTGAATTTGATCAAGAAGGTAAGAAAATAAAATAAAATAAATGAACAAAATAATAATTGAAACTGATATATATTTTTTTTATTTTTTATTTTTTATATGATTATAATTGTAATTATATTTTTATTTCTACATCTTTACAACAATTATTCCTTTCCAGTTGACTTACCTTTGTCCCAAGAAGAGTCCATCTTTACTGCCGAAGATACAATTACAGGAGCATTTGTGGTTGATGGCGATGAGATTGAAGAAGGCAATACCGGTTTTGATTTTGAACAAGAAGAAAACTTTGATGAGACCAGTGGGACCTCGATAGTAGAATCAGGTATGAATTAATATGGTATAGACAATTAATCAATATATTAATTTAAACTAACTTAACCTTTGTCTTCATAGTTTGTCCTTCGTCTTTTGATAACATGCCCTTGTATATCCGCTTTGTTGCAGTATTCATTGTCATATTTCACTTGATCTTTTTGGTGGAAAGCGGTGGATCGATTCTCATTGAATTTTGTAATACTCTACTGTCTCTCTGTGATATGTCTGGCGCCCTTCCACTGACGATCAATAGCTTGAAGCATAAGACAGGATTTAACATGGCAACAGACGGAATGACAGTATACATTGCATGCTCACAATGTCATTCGATTTATCCTCTGGAAACAAGTCAAAGAGTCTGTACATTTAAGAAATTCTCTCAATCCGCCATTTGCAACAACAATCTCTTTAAAGTGTCAACCGGAAATCGTTCTCTTCCAGCAATGGTATATCCATTCAACTCTCTGAAGTACGCCTTGCAACAAAAATTCTCCAAGCCAGATTTCGTGTCCAAGATCAATTTGTGGAGAAGTCGTCAAATAATTGAAAACACCAAACTTGACATTTTCGATGGTGCAGTTTGGAGTGATATTAAAGACATCAATGGCAGACGGTTTGTTGATGGTAGCCGATCTTTAATGTTGACTCTGAATATCGATTGGTTTCAGCCATTTGATGGACGAACACATTCCAGTGGTGCAATATATCTCTCTATCAACAATCTCCCATGGAGTGAACGCCTTAAGTCTGAAAATGTCATTCTTGTTGGTATGATGCCTGGGCCGAAGGAAGCAAGCACTGACAGCATGAATCATTACTTGAAGCCGCTCGTTGACGAATTGTTGGAGATGTACATTGGTGTAGAAATGACAGACTCACAAAATAGAAAGATTGTTGTTCGTGCTGCATTGATGTGTGTTGCCTGTGATATCCCTGCCGCTCGCAAAACCTCTGGATTTACTGGCCACATGAGCACATGCGCCTGTCACAAATGTCAACGACAATTCACGACTATAAAGAAGACCAGCAAGCTTGACTACTCTGGATTCAAGTATAGCAATTGGGTGAGACGCACGAAGACAATGAATCTGAAACACGCTGTCAGCTGGGCAAATGCATTGAACAATACTGAGCAAACACGCCTAGAAAAAGAAAACGGCACTCGGTGGTCAGAGCTTCATTGGTTATCTTACTTTGACCTAGTCCGCTTTACAGTTATAGACCCGATGCATAACCTCTATCTTGGAACTGCAAAGCGAATGATTCAGATATGGCGCGAGTGTAACTACATCAATGAAAAGAATCAGTTAACTATGCAAGAGCTTGCCAATGGTATTGTTGTATCTTGTGGATATGCGCGTATAACAAAGAAGATTGCCGATGGGTTTTCGTTCATGAAAGCTGACAAGTGGAAGTCATGGTGCGTCATATACTCTCCATTTGTTCTGAAGCATGTGCTCCCAGCCAAGAATCTCGAAAACTGGATTTTGTTTGTTGACGCATGCCGCTTACTCACAAAACCTTCGATCAATGACAAAGAAATAGACGAAGCCCACAGTAAACTCCAATTGTTTTGTACAAGATTTCAGACACTGTATGGAAAATCGGCCATGACACCGAATATGCATCTACATCTTCATCTTGGCGAGTGTGTTCATGACTTTGGGCCAATTTATGCTTTCTGGTTATTCAGTTTTGAGAGATACAATGGTTTGTTGAAGAATATCGAAACAAATCAAAAAGGCGGCTTCGAATCAACAATGATGAAGAGATTTTTGGAGAGAACATACATTGGCAGCTTCATACAATCTTTCGTCAACCATCTCCCCCAGTTCGCAATTGACTTTCTGCATCGCATTTCAAATAGTCAAGATCAATTAGCAGCATTGCATCCATCTTCTACTGCCAGTACCTTTTCTCTGTCTGACTTTGTTGAATATTCGTTAAACCCTCGTCATTCTGCTTTGGGTTGTGAGCCATTGCCCCCTTCAGTGTTTCCGATTAAACTCGACCAAAGGATTACAATGTGCAAGGGACATTATGAATGTTTACTGGAGTTTTACAGACACGCGTATGGCAGTCACGATCTTTTTGACCATTATTCAAACTGCGAGTCTAACCAGATTTTTGTCAATAACCGAATTGAGAAAATGAAATGGATATCTCTTCTTGGACAGGAATACTCTTCTGGATCTTATTTCCGCGCCTATTATCTTGAGAATAACAGTGAAGATAAAGCAGTGTTTCCTGGCCATATACTGTATTTATTTCAACATTTGATAACCATCAACGAAACTGTCATCACCCATACTTTTGCGTTTGTTGAGTGATACTCTAGTTATTCTTCGGGGAGTTACCAGCCAATGTTAAATGAAGGCATTGAGCTCTGGAATGAACCTACTTCTGTACTTAATTATGAATGTATTATTCCAGTACATTGTTTATATTCACCAATCGCAATTGCTAAATATAGGTTTACTATAACTAGTGAATTTAAACGTTTAGTAATCCCTTTACCCCAAAAAATAGAAGCTTAAATAATATTAATAAAATACCACTTTGCACTCTTTTATCAATTTATTAGAAAATGTTTGATTTATTGTCTTATTGTTTCTTTGACCATGATGGCAGCTTGTTTGCCTTGGTCTTACTAAGCTGCTTATCTCTTATTCCTTTAAATTTATGCTCGAATGGACGGGTATTATTTTTCTTATCATGAGCTGCCTCATAATCCGCATCAAGTTCATCAACGAACCTATCTCCCTATATGTCAATGTAAGTATTATTACACACCATCCAAAAAAATAGTTTTTTGTACTATACCTCTTCGCTTCTCCAGCTTGGACGGAATCTCCAAAAAAAACTCTTTTCTGAGGACGAATCCTGTTCCTCTTCTTCTCTTTCGTCATCACTCTCAAGGTCTGACATGTAATCAGCATGGAGAATACTGTCAACATTCTCTCCAAAGCTGTTCACAAAGTGTGCCCAATTGGCTTTCAAGGCAGATTGTCTTCTTTCACACGACTATATATAAATATATAATATTTCTAATTTAATATCACATCTAGTATATTGTGTGCATGTGTTTTTTACCTTTACACGTCGCTGACGAAGACAGGCCCGTCGATTCTCTTCCTGCTTCTTTTCTCCTGTTTTTTTTTCTTGCAACTTTCTGTTGCCAATGTGCCGCACAATCTTAGTTCGAAGAGTTGGCAAGTCCATCTTTTTCCCCTCTTCTTGATGACGAAGGTAATCGGTAACAGACTTCAGAACGAGTCTGTTTCCCTCACTGTTTTTATTTTCATTGGTATTGTATTGGTCATACAATTTCTCTTCACTCAAATAATCGCGCAACAATTGCTATAATATGAATGTATATTAAATTCTATCTACATAAAAACATATTATGATTACTTACATCCAATGTTGGTTGACGTCCAGGCGACATGTCTTGCTCAACTGCATTACTAGCAGTGGCTTCAGCTTTCTCAGAAGATGTGTTCTTCAAAACAGTGTTTAAGACACCATTCATGGTATCAAGTTTCTCGTACACATCATGGATGTTACGAGTTCTACCCGACGAATCACCTTCAAGATTCAACCGAGCTCTCTTTGGTGCTAGTGGTCTTTGATTGCTCACTGTTCCCTGTGAGTGTTGCAACATTATCGTCCTTATATCATTGGTATTTCTTGGTGGGCTTTTTTTTGATTTTTATAAAAAACGAAAATAAAATTAATATAAGAAAATTGAAGACTGCCTGGTTTTAATCTACCTTCCCACAGAAGGTTCTTCACCAAAAGCATTGTTAACTGAATTGTTATTGAGATTTCTTGACATTGTGAATAATAAGAATAGTTTGTTTTTTTTTAAATCCAAAGGGTCTATTTATATTATGTTTAATTTGGGCTTTAAGTTTTATTCTTTCTCAGAGAACACCATGATCTATTACGTAACAAGAACAGCTTTGAATGTTTCCACTCTTGTTGTGAGTATTTTATGTGTTTCTTTAATTTAATTTTCAATCCATGTTTTATTCTTATATTATGTATTAGTATTTGAATAATATGATTTTATACTATACTCTGTTTTTCATATGTATTAGCTGCTGGCATAGTGCAACTGCGTTTTCTTTCAATTCTAAGTTACAGACAAAAATTATTTTTTGATTTATTTACTTTTAAAAAAAACCCCGAATTCGTATTTAATAGAATAACTGCGCCCCTCTTTTTTATTTTCTCTTTCTTTAACCTGCTCTTCTCATTTTGTCTCTTTTTATATGTCTTGGTAAGCTTACTCTTAAGATCTCAACTTTTATTAATACTTTTGGCTTTTAGAATCATCTTAATATATATTAGATAAACAATACACTCAACAAGCATTCAAAACAGTACAGGTAATAAACAATCTCCTAACTAAAATGAAACACCTTGCTGACTAAATATTTTTTACTTTTAAAATGATAGGGCTTCTACCCATTTTGTAATAAAAGATATTTTGCTCTTGACACTATATACTTTCTGGTATTGTCAGTCTATGAAAAGGTAATATATATATAACTCAACTTAAATAATGTAACTTATCAATTCTTCTTCTCAGATAAATATGTCACGCCTTTTTTTCAAGTCATACTGGTTTGCCCCCTTTTGCAAACGCGTGTCTATAATATGTAAGTAATTCAAGTGTCTTTACAATCAAAGCATACATATTAATAAAGTTGTTTATTTTATTTCTTGCTTTTTATTTAAAAGAAAATATCAATCAAACGGATTTTTATTCTATCGCAAGATTTGTTATGAACCCTCATAAATGATCTAGTAAGTATGTTATTTCATTTTATTTCATAAAGAAACCTGTATTAATACTTCTGTATCTTTTTTTGCTCTAAGCTAATGTAGTTCCAAACAAACGTATTCTCCAAGAAAATACCAAGGATTTCATTTTCAGTTAAAGAAGTGTAAAACCAAAAAACGCGCCGAATACATGAAACCGATAAGGTAGGGAAGTATAGTATAAGTTAGGTCATCCAATGTATTCAAGCCGTCCAATAAATGAAAGTATAACATGTATACAAGTCGTACTATTCGGATACACACTTTTAAAGAAGTATTAGTGGTTCATATTAAATAGCTAAATATATTTTCCAACCATTCAAAAATCAATAAAAACCATTTTTTCCATGAGATTCTATTTTAAATGCGTCATCTCTTGATGATGTCAACAAGATCTATTTAAGTTTTTTTTTACAATCATTCATTTGAATGCTGGTTCCTGTCAGATTTCAGACTGATTCTAGGTCGATTTTAGTGAGGTCTATCCAATAATATCATGTAATTAAAGCAAATAAAATTTTTTAAGAGGTAGAGAGTTCAAAGCCAATTCTATAACAAGTAGGGTTTAGGTACGGTTTGAAGTTATGGGTGAATATATAACCAGAATTACAGACAATTATAACATTTCAAGAAAAGGGGGAATTATAACTCTCAATTTATCTATTGATTTTAGTATCTATAATCTCATCATTTGGTTAACTAAATGAACCAATTTTTGTAACAAATACCAAACTATAATTGAACATAAACCACCAATTTTTGGAGGATTTAAACAAAAATTAAGCTACTTAAATCGGTTGTCTTTTGCAGTGTTAACAAAGTATTGTCACAATTTGGACAGTCTCTCTGTCTTTCCCTCAGTATAAATGGTGTCAACTCTATGACTGGTTTCAGCAATGTGACTTGAGATGTCTAGCAGTTTGCTGCATGTGGCAATTACACTGCAAAAATTATATAATTTCATCATGGGAAAGTTGAGTAAAACCAAAGAGACAAGTTAATCAAATTCTAACTCCATCATTTTTTCAAATTTTGGCAGCAATAATACTATGTAGCTTTTTCTATTGGATATAAGACATATTGCATCTTTTAATGGTTATCTAAAAAAATAAAAACTATAAAAATAAGCTGTGCTATTGAATATGTTCCTGTTTGTACAAATTTTATAAACGCAAGCAAACTTAAAATGTCTAATAAGTACAACTTAATTAAATGCAATTGTTCAGTGTGCTCTCCCAATGATAGATATTTTGCTATGGTCTCTACTCAGACATGCTGTAGACATTTTGCTGATGATGTGCAAAGAAATTTTCAAAGATAATATTATATGTAGAGAAACACTATACATTTTATTTTATTTTATTTTATGCGACAATTTAATAAATTTATATAATATAGTATTGTCTCTTGAAGTAGTAGATATGGTAAATGAAAATGCCAGTGACATTGTGAATGACAATTCCTAAAACATGATGAATTACAACATAAGCAACATGGATTCTGAGCCTGAGAGCAATGTTTTTGAGATTCACAAAGGCAATTATATAATTTTATTGTGTTGTATAAGAAATCGTAAACCTAACTAGTTATATCTTCCAAATATAGTCACAGAAGATATATCTGACTCTACCAACAACACTTGCGTAGATTCTAATGAGACTGATAATGCAGACCAAAATATTAATGGTAAGTAAAAAACTAAACGAAATACCTTGAAAAAAACCTTGCTCATTAATATAACCGCCAAACAGAACAACGCTTTAGACACACAATGCCAGCTGATCCAATCCATGCTTTCATTGCATCCTTCACTGCATTTTTTATATCAAAATATGTAGTCAATTCCGGTGGTGTCATCTTCATCAAATTTATTAATGAGGTGCTGATACATTTTGGTTAATTGTTCCATCTGCCATTGAGTCTACCAAGCTTGTATTCTATGACAGAGTTCAATGCATTGACAGAAAGTGTCTAACGCTTTGTGGCATGTAGTGAATGCCATAAAATATTTTCTGAGTCTGAGCCTGTTCCACAGTGTTGCAATTTTAGAAAACTATCTGGAGACGTATGTGGAACCCAACTTCTCTTGGGAGCATCCAACAACCTAGATCGGCCAAAAAAGATGTACATATACAACTCAATCACAACAGCAATCTCAATTCTTTTCTCTTGCTCTGAATTTGAGAGAGCCATCAATCTCTGGAGGTTCAGACAACAAGTGCCTAGAAGTCTTTTTGATATATATGATGGTGCAAAGTGGAGAAACTTGAAAGACAGTAACAATCAGCAATTTTTAGCCCATGAACGTTCTCTAATGCTTACATTAAGTATCAATTGATTCCAGCCTTTTGATGAGATATTATACTCGTGTGGAGCTATCTATCTGTCGGTTAACAACCTGCCAAGGGAAAAGAGATACAAGAAGGAGAATATCATTCTTGTCAGTCTTATGCCAGGACCAAAAGAAGCCAAAACCAGTGAGATAAACCACTACCTTCGTCCTCTCATAGTTGAGCTCAAGAAGCTGTACTTGGGTGTGGTTCTTTCTACTAATGAGTGTCCGTCTAGTACATTGATTTATGCTGCATTGCTCCTCATTGCCTGTGACATCCCGACTGCAAGAAAAACATGCGGGTTTACTTCACATGCCAGTATTAATGCATGTCATATATGCAACTGCCATATCTCTTGTCGTACAGATGGAAAAGACATGAACTATTCTGGTCTTGTGTTCTCTGAGTGGGTGTCTCATACCAACGAAAAACATTGCAGAGATGCAGAGAAATGGAGACGTGCCAGAAGTGAAGCTGAGAAAATGAGACTGGAAAGAGAGAATGATGTGCGTTGGTCAGAGCTCCTTGAACTGAAATACTTCAATGCAGTCGAATGCACTATTATCAATCCAATGCACAACCTGTTTCTAGGCACGGCAAAAAGAATGATGAAGAGATGGAGAGCTGATAAGCTGCTAACTGACGAGCATCTTGTCAAAATGCAGCATGAAGCTGACAGCATGATTGTTCCTCTCAACATAACTCCATTGAGAAACAAGATTGTAAAGGACTTTTCATTTATAAAGGCAGATGAATGGAAGTCCTGGTGTTTAGTCTACTCCCCTGTTCTCTTGGCTGGCCATTTACCATCTGAAAATCTCAACAATTGGATGCACTTTGTTAATGCTTGCAGGTACTTGACTAAGCCAAGTATTACAGCTGTAGATCTTTCTCACGTTTACAATTGTTTGAAGTTGTTTGGTCAGGGATGCGAGGATGTGTATGACAAAGATTTCATATTGCCTAATATGCACTTACATATGCATCTCAAAGAGATGGTTCTGAACTTTGGTCCAGTATATGGATACTGGCTTTTTAGCTTTGAAAGATACAATGGCCAATTAAAAAACTATAAGATGAACAAGAGGGACGGGTTTGAAGGAACCTTTATGTGTAAATACCTTGAGGATGCATATAAAGCAGATCTTGCTCGTATAATACTCTTACTTGTTTTCATTACATCACACCATTCCTTGATATACAAGCTCATTGGTTCAGTTCCGACTCTTGCCACTGCCATTTCCATCCCTGCCATGCCTTACTTATTGACTGCTTCTAGTTTCAATTTGAAGAACTTTCTTGATTCTGCTGTTGTAACTATTAACAATGTAAAGGGTAATAAGACATTGCTTCTGTCCGCCTTTCCTCTCAATCTTGGGAATTTTATGCTAATGGAAGAAGATGAGTATGCTCATCTACTTAAGTATTACAGAACAGCATATAACAATACTTCACTGAAAAATTACAGGCAGGCACTCTTTGGCAAATTTTTTGTAGACAATATTATCCAGAAAATTTCATCGATCAATCTTCTTAGACAGATTTACAAGGGTAGTAATGATATAGTTTGATGAGATTCAGTAATACAAGCAATGTTTCATGAAAACAATGGCCACGGAATGAGTGCCTTTACTGGCCAAATTCAATATCTTTTTGTCAGTGACATCATTGATCATGTGATCTACTAAGCAGATAGGCATGTATTTGCTTATGTTAGATGATATAGAACAGCAAGTCAAGATACATGAAGTGATCAGTACATACTGTAGAAAAAAATCTACAAGTATTTGAAACAAGCTGCCTTATTTTGGAAAGAAATAGCAGATTTTTGAGTACCATCTAGCACTTATCAAGTTTAGAATATCTCTAACCTATTTTGGCTCTAGAGAAATATTTTGAAAATGAAAGTCTTGTTGTCAACCCAGGAAACCATCTTGATTTCCGAATAGAGAGAACTACTTGCTTGATTAAAGAAAAATCAACTAAAGGGTCAAACAAGCCCTATGAACTTTGTACCTTGAATCTGAGCTTATACTAGAAACAGTCATATCTACTGATATTTTTTTTAATGCAAACTTGTGTTTTATTTTATAAAGTCTTTTTCTTTCTATTTCTTCTCACTATTACTGTTGTTGACAAGTCTTTCAGACTTTACAAAGTACTAACCAATAACCTATAACTTTTAGACAATAGCAATATTAAGCAAGAGATCTATAACAAGATCCTATAACACAAAACATTTTATCAAAGCCTTACAAGATAAGCACACATATACATATTTTATAGATAGAATGATATATAGCTATAGCTCTTGTAATGTTAAACGAAACTCCCTTTTTTATTTCTGGCCAAAGCAATATCTAGTAGTTTATAAAGGCATTGATCTTACAATTTAAATTAAACTTTTACTATACTTATTATTTAATTTAAAATTATCATAGTCTTCTTTTTACATACTTATTCTATCATTTGTCTACTATTTTTTAGTACTCTTTGTTAGAGGGAATGCTATATATATAAGAAGGCTAAAGAAGAGCCTTATTTTATTACTTTTACTATTAATAAAGTCAAAAAATAAAAATATATTGATATAAAACATTAAGTTTGTTGGACCAATTATAAGAAAGTTTAAAGTATCTAAAAAGGTATAAATTTACTATATTTAGAGCAATTGATTGGATTAGATGAAAAAATAATCTAAAATCTCACAAATCATACTTGCTAAAGAATCTACAAGCTCGTAGAAATCTACGAGTCTGAAGTTATAATTTCTTCTATTTTTATTAATTCTATTGGTTAAAAAATCTTCCCTGACATTTCTACAAGCTCGTAAATGGATACAAGCTTGTAGAAATCTATGAGTATAGAGTTATAAATGCTGTCATTTACCACAGTGACATCGAGTTAAATGAATTCACATTTACAAGAAGTGACTTTCAGAACATCTTACCTGTTCATCGAATCTTGATGCCTGCTGCAATTGATGTGCATACAACTGCCACTAGTAATACTTACATGCTAATAGCCCTGTTATTTGGAAAAGTATATGCATAAACAAAAATATATATCTATCTATCAATTTATTATTAATATATTATCAAGAAAATGTTTGTTATCTATATATAAGCTTTTGAAAGTGGAAAACTATATTTTGTTTATTAATTTTTAATAGTTTATTGAGCTAATGGGACTTTTAAATTAGTTGGTACAGCTGCGTCACACATAGCCCAAACACGTGTGATCTTTCTTGCAGTTCTTTTCTTTGTCTTCAAAGTGGAATACTTGTCAAGGGAAGTAAAGAGCTTTTGGAGCTATTTAATTTTTAATTATATGAATTAATTCTCTGTTATACTTTAAATTTCTACAAAAATATATTATCTCATCACTTCCCCAACTAGAATAATAAGCCATAAGAGTCTTGTTTCTTACAGAATTCTTATCATCAGACTCTTTGTCAGACATGGTGGCTTTCTGGATAGCATGGGCACAGTCAACTTTATCCATAAACTTGTCAATTGCATTTTTGTTTTCTTTGTATGTAAGTCCACACTGGTGAAGAAGCTGAAAATATATTAAAAATTGTAAGTGACATAATATATCTATATATATTAAATGAATAACTTACTGCCACATCATGCTGACGTCTTCTTGTGGCAGTGTTTTTTCTTTTTGTGGATTTGGCTGATCTGCGAGACTCGCGCACTTGGTTGCTGAAATGTTTTTTTATTATACCTTCAAGAACACGCGTGACTATCCCAGCAGAACAGAGCTGTCTCCGCAAGTATGTGCTCATAGCTGATGCAAGACCATGGTTATCACTACTCATGAAATAGCTTGTCAGCACACATTCTAGCTTTGCATCATTTGCAGTAATTTCTCTTGGATCGTTGCTGGTAAAGTTTTATGTCTTAACATAGTCCTTAATAAGGGTCTACAAGAGTAGTGTTAGATGATTTTATCATTTTTTTTTAAAAAAAAGATTTACTGATATTTCTGTGTGTCTTCTTCCATCAAAGATGAAAAACCACCAAAAAGTTCAGTGCTTGATGTAGTATTACATCTGGAAGCAACATTGTGAATAGCAGCCTGACCAGCGAGGATATTGATCACAGTCTCCTGGAGGCAAGTCATGGTCTGGTTGAATAAAGTGATATCACCAGTTATGAGCAAAACCTGGTTTGCCAGACCTTTCAACTGGTTGTTCATTGTGCTCATCATCCAAATCAAAGGATCCGATATACTTTTGGTAGTCTGGCTATGAGTTAACATCATAGCAGTCGTTGCATTATCGGGTAGCATAAAGTTGCTACTATCTGGTGCAGCACTGTGTGCAATAGCAGCATATATAAAGTCGTTGAACGAATAGTCCGCAGGTGCAAAATTGTTTATTTTCTATACATGAAAAAACTTTAATATTGATTGGTATTATCAAAGTAAGCTTTATAAAATTTGGCAGGTCTACACATACAACTAAAAAGAGGAAAGGGAGAGGGATAGTAATTCAATAGGTTTTGCATCTTATTTATCAAAAAATATCTTCTTTATTCATGTTCAAATACTTTGGTTTTAACTCTGAGGAGTATATAGGTTGGGTGCACAAGCTTATATCTTCATTTGGAAATTTATATTCATTTAGCTTGCTTCTTTTGGATTATTATATATACCACTCGTGATTTATTATAATTCTAGCTTTTTAATTCAAAAAGACATTTTCTTTCTTTCTTTCTTTTATCTTTCTTTTATATATTTTTGACACTTGTCACCAAGTAAGTTTATTCTATCCTTCTATCATTTTTACTTATGATCTGGTTTACTCACTTGTTTCCCCTTGTATGGTCATTCAATCTACATGTGTTTGTCTATATATAATATCTAATTCAAAACATGTCATGATCTTATATACTCACACATTGTTGTTTGTTTTTATTTCTTTTACACAAAGCTTTAATATACTAGACATAGTATCTATTCAATCCTCTTGGCAATGATATTCTCATGAAATTTGACAGTACGTGTTTATTGAAGTTTTGCACCTTCTATATTTTAATTATTATCTTGCATTTGATATTATTATATTTCTTTAACAGGATTTATCCAACCAGTCTATACTATTTTATTATATAAAAAACAGTGTTTAGTAACTCTCTTGTGTGTCAATTGCTTTTATACTTATCTTAAATGCAATGTTAATCATAATATTTTGTAATAATAGTTTGTACAGCAAGAATTATATTATTCTTAGATCAGTAAGTTCTTTTTAAGATATATTTATATAACAATTACATCAAAATGATATTAGCTTGCGCATTTTCTTCTGTCTAAAAATCATTTTCTCGATTTTTCTTTTTTTTGTTACATGGCTTTAAAAGCTTGTTATATCTTTATGTAAGCACTAGTATAACAGCTTAGACCAAAGATCAATTAGCTGCATATACTTAGAAACATTAACGGATTTGATAGTTTTATAAATAACTATTATACAATCACCATGTTTTTCAAAAAAATGTTTCTTTTTCAATCGTTCAAAATAAACAAATAAAACTAATTTTTCAACCAAACCAATACAAAAAAAAACTTTTTTAAAATGTATGCTCTCCCACATATTATACATCATAAAGTATACTATCCCACAAATTTTTATTATAAAACTAGAATTAAATATACAGTGAAAAATGGGGAAAGTATATCGGTTAAAGAAGTATTTATGTCCACATTAAAAGAATACTCTCCCACAGATTATAAGTCTTAAAGTATACTTTCCCACATATATTAATTATAAAACAGCAAATAATTATACAACAAAATGTGGGAAAGTATATATGTTGAAGCAGTATCCATGTCCGCTCCTTTTTTAAATTAAATACAGATTCAAAATAGAATATAATACTCATATAATTCAAATGCACAGCACAGACCTGTGCAGCATATATTCAAATAATGTTGGCGGACTGAGGAACAGTATTGCTTTCCACCAGAATAATATTTTCTCCATGATTCTAGACTTCTTTCTACTTGTTACAAATATACTAAGTATTTAGGGGGTAACTATGATAGAATCATGTTGAAATCCGTGCTTTCAACATGATATTTGCTTTCTTTCTACTCAATGAAATCATATAATTTTTGCAGTAAATAGATTAATGGTGCCTTTTGCTGAGAAGGGAGCACCAAGGTGCAGAAAAGAGAAAGAATAAGAAATTAGCACATTATAGAAAGAGATATAGAATGGAAAGAGAGCAGTGGAATAGTGAAGGATAATTCATTTTGTGAGGCTCTAATGATACCCAAGCTCCTTGGAATATTGCTCAGCAGAGTTCAAAATGACTGACATGGCTTCAGGTATGGCAATTATTGCAACATTATCAGCAAACAGCAAAGTGTTAACCAATTTGTCTTCAATCTTGATAGCCAAAATCTGATCAAATACAGTGTTGCAAAGTTCACCTGCAGCACAAAGAGTAGCTGGAAGAAAATTGATATATACAGAGTACAAGTGAGGTGAGAGCACAGATCCTTGAAGAACGCCAGTGAATGGCTGAAACGAATGGAACGTGACACTAAAGAGAAAAACCTCAACATGCACATCGTCAAAAAGACTTTGCAACAAAGCTAGCATAGCATTAGAGGCTAAAAAACAGAGAAATTTCTGAATGATTGAGCAATCAATAGTGTCACAAGCTGACTCAATGTCTAGAAAAGCAAGAACTGGTGGAGCCTTGAACAGAACTGTGTGATGGCAAACAATTGCATGGAGACAAATAATCTGGTCAAGAGAGCTATGTTGACGTCAAAATCCACCTTGAACAATGTCAATTGTAGGTGACACATCTTCAAAAGAAAGGGCAAGACAGTATTCCATTGCTTTTCTCAGGATTAAGATAAAGCTAATAGAACAATAATTGGCAAGATTGTTAGTTTTATTCTTTTTAAAGATGGGAACAACTTGAGCAGTGTGCCATGCCAGAGAAGCAGAACCCCATTGCAAATAGAGCTAGAAAAGAAGAGCAAGGACAGGGGACACCATTTTTGCAACTGAATACAACATTACAGCACAAATATGATCAATGCCAGAAGCTTTGCAGACAGAAAGTTTGATGAGTGTATACTCTACTGAGAGAGGATCAAAAGGACATGACCCATCACTCTCAATGAATGACAAAATAGAAACGGTCTGGTCAGTGGGGCGGCATGCAGGAAGAAATTGTCCTGAGAAAATCTGTTGAAAATGATCAGCTATATGGTTTGCAGCAACTTGAGGTCCATCAGGATCAACAAAAATGGGGCATGCTTGGCGGCTGTCACGGATTCTTTTGATTGTGCCTGTGGTTTTGCTGAAGCTTTGGGCTGCTAGTTTCTTGCAGAATTCCTTCCAGGTTTCACAGCAACAATGCTGGTCAGACAAACTAACAGCATGGCATGCATCCTGGTGGTGCGTCTAGCATAATACTTTCTGCAAACCACTTGAATGACACCAGCATTAGTGACTACATTCTCTCAGATCTATGATTTCTTGAAGGTCCACTGACCAGAACTAGTACTTTTGTATAGTACACAGTGGTGGCAGCCAACAGTTGAGTCTAGAGCATCATATATAGCTTGAGCAAAAGCTGTGCATAATGTATCTACAGGAGGAGAAGAAGAAGAAAAGAAAGTACTGAACTGCTCTGTCAGATTGTCTAATGTTCCAGAAACTACATTGATATAGATCTTGAGAGTGTCAGGCTAAGCAAGCGCAAACAATTAGGAATAGAAGAAGAAGAAGAAATTGATATGTGATATGTTAGGTTTGTTGTAGATTGTAATGGATTACTCAGCAAATAAAATACAATGATAATAGAATAGAATAGAAGACAGATACAGTAAAAGACAGTGAACAGCAATAGTTGACAAATAAGAAAAGAGAGAACAACTGATAGAATCATTGTTAAACGTGAGAGAGAAAGAAAGATGTATGAAAAGAGAATGTTCAAACAGAAAAGTAATAACCAACAAGGAGATTAAAACCAACAAACAATCTTTCTAAAACAAATGAACCAATATTTTATGTTGCAAGATAGTATAAATCACAAGAGAAGAAAACAAAAAAAAATACTGAATTGAATAATTTTATTGAGTTGAATTTGCTTCTCTTTTTATAGTCAACGAGATTTAGAATTGATAATAGAAGTTCAGAAAAAATAAAGATAGTAAAAATAGAATAATGAATAATTGATATGGCAAGGATAAAATATATGAATAAAGATATGGTAAAAATCTAATAATAAAGTACTGATGTTGTACAGAGATGTTGGCAAGATGAATTGTGTGCACTGTAGAAGAGAAATGTTACTAGCATGAATAACCATGATTTTGAATGAGTCCAATGTGAACAAATATATTAACAAGGGAAAAGGAAAAAGTATTGTATGTAGAAGGAACAGGGAACAGAAACAAGATTATTCCTGTGCACAGAAAAATTCTTCTCTTATCACTGAGGGCACAGTACTACATCAACAAACCATTAATATCAGCCTCTTATAACTGGGACAACATGTCACAACAAACTGCCAGACATACCCACCAAGCAGACTGACCTTCCAGTACTGGATACTACAACATGGCCAAATACCAGACTTGCCTATAACATACGTGTCAAAATGATGTACGTGATACTTTGTTATGTGTATAGTGTGTACAAGACAAGCAAGATAAGGGTAGTAATAAGAATTGAATTCCGTAATGAGGTAGAGTTATTTAAATTGCGAAATAATTGTATAAAAATATAAAATAAATAAGAGAAGCTACTTCTAGAAGCGAAAAATAGAAGATATTTTGGAAGGGAAAAAATATCTAGAACTAGCAAATAGAAATGAATAATGCTAATATAAAAAAAACTAAGTTAAGAGAAGTATTTAGAGAATAAAAGCTTGAAAATTAACTAAGAGAATTTCTAAGGTAATTTTAAAATGAGAAATAAAGGGAAAATTCAACAAAATGAAAATCATAAAATTTGAGGGGAAGAAAAATAATAGAAAAATAATAGAAAATAATCAATCTTCTATGAAGACTTGACAAAGAAAAACAGTAACACTGGAAAAATAGGGTATATTCATCTGGATCAAATGTACCAAAAATGTAGATGATTGAGCTGATATCATCACAATTTTTGTGATATATCATTTTGAGCAATGATACGATACCATCTATGGTACTGATGTGTATCATCATAATAATGGGTACACAAAAACCCAATGTAGAACAATTGTCAGTCTGCAAACTATGGAAACTGAATAAATATTATAGTTATGCTTTACTCCTATCAAGTCTACCTCTTTATGTGTTATATTTTGAGATCTATAAAGAGCTAGCGTCCCATATTATTATTTTTACCGGGTTTTTTTATTGGCTGCAGAAATGCTTTAAAAACTATCAAAGAGATGATTGTAGATTTTTTACAATATAAAGAAATGATGATAGTTGATTTTTTATACATGCTCAAAGTGATGAAACTAGGTTTTTTATATACACAAAAGCAATGAAACTAGATTTTTTTACAATGGAAAAGAGAAACAAAGCATGAGTAAATTTTTATAAACAAACCTCTTTGGTTTGTTTATTTATTTTACTTTTATTTATTTATTTTTTGGAAAAAACATTGGGTTATACATTTTTTGTTCAATCTTGTTTTATTTCATAGGAAAATCTTTTCTAGATAAATATCCTAATTTCGTGACAGTTTTGATACTATAGCTATTATAATTGCTAATACTTCTTGCTCGCTATATATAATTTAAAGCCTTCCGGGAGTAGACATGGAATACATACTTTAATAGCGGGAATGCTATTAAAAAATGATTAATAGAAAAGAAGAATTAGTAAATGATTTAAATTGAAATTTCTTCATAAATACTTACAAGACGGAGAAGACTTGACATAAAATTGATAAAAACATGTTTTTCAGAATTATCAAGACAATACCAGTAGTCTTTGAATAGAGATACGTTCTAAAAAGAAATAATTATTAATATTGTGCGTATTAAAGGCGTATTTATTAAATATATTGTAGTTAACTTACCAAATATTACTGATTATACGTCTTTCTGCATAATATCAGACATAACTAATAAATTGTAATAGAAATAAATATATATTTATGAGGAAGACAAAAGAATAAGTTCAATTTTTTTTAAGAAAAAAACTTACTATCATGTTCGATTAAGAGATGATGAGACTCAATGGAAATGAGTAGCAATGGCTAGACAAACAATATGATGAGTAACAAAGATCTGTAAGAGAATGATATCTTACTTTGATATATCAGACAGAGTACAGCCAAACAAAGAGACACATATTTAGTATTGAGCTATAAAAGAAAGAAAAAATTATAAGTGAAATTGTAAAAACATAAGCAAAAGAGAAACAAAGAAAATATTAATAATAAATGTTGTTGAAAGAAAAAAAAAGAAAAAAAAAGACTTGTCTTAAAATCCAGTTTGACTCTGACAAAATGTGGGCTGTAAAAAGTAATACTCCAAAAGAAGATGACTACCGTCATCTTGAAATACTACTTTGTGCCTCATTGAGTTAGAAAAGAAGTTGTCTAAATGTGGATCAAGCGGTTGGGAGATGTGCTTAAATAGCAAATGAAAGGTAGAGAGTTAATCTGCACTGTTTATCCTCTTTACTAGTATGTGAATTTTAAATATGATATAACAAGTGTAGTGAATTGTACAATATTAGTTGAAAATTATTAATATTTATTTTATTAACAGAAAATGCCAAAGCGTATTCCTACTGCTCCCCACCAACCTAACCTACGCATGAATGCTGTTCTTAATAGCACAATTGCCGGTGTTGTTGCTCCAATTGATACACCAACTCCAGAAGTAGCAGTTGACACAGCCCCTGAAGTTCAAGTCGCTGTGACCCCAATGGATCACGTCCTTACCTTGTTGGCAGCCAACAATGTGTCGATGCAATCCTTGCAAGAAAATGCAAAAGAAGTGACTGATGCAATAACTCATTTGAAGAATGGCCTGGATTTGTCCAACAAGACAAATGAATTTTTGAAGAACTCGTTCCTTCAGCTCATGACTGAAAATGCCGAAATAAAAAAGGCAATGACCAGCCAAAATTCTGTGATGCCTTCTGCTGTACCAGCGGATTCTTCTTCTTCCATGGATGATGATCTTGACCTTGGAGCAAAACATCATCCCTTGATTTCTGTAAGTAAATTGATAATAATAACATTACTGATTAATATATCTAATACTGTTTTTATAGCAACTTATCAATAGTTACATCAAGAAACCAAACATTGTTAGCACAGACCTGCTCAAAGTTGCTGAGAATAATAATAGATCAGCATGGTTAATGACTGGCACGTATAGCAATAAGTACAACAAGACACTTGCACTGGCTCTCTTCAAGTACCTGAGACCTCAAAGATGTTGCACAAATGTGTCAAAGAGTGTCATTATGAATATAATAAAGAATCACTACCAAAATCAAGTGCGAGTCTTCCGGACCTCAGCAGAGAAGATTATGGCTAGAAATAAAGCTGGAAGAAGACGCAACAGAAAGAAGACTGTAAGTTTTAAAATAAAGTTAATTTACTATTGATTTAATGTTTTAATACAATATTCTTTGGTAGCTTCTTGACCATCGTATTATCACGTACCAGACATACACAGAGGCTATTCATGAGGACATGAATCGATATGATTGCGGAAATATTCTTTCTATTGACGTGATGTCTGATGGCGAGTTGGATGAAGATAAAGTGTGGGCATATCGTCCCAGCTGGAGAACTGATGAGATAATGTTAAACATCTATTTATGTTTTAAAGAAAATAATAATACTTTATTAATACTATTTATTCTTTAAACTGGCTCCAGACGTTTATTAGTACTATTGATGAACTTACTGTTATCCATTTGAAAAAAATTCAGAAAGCTTGAAAAAGTGCATCCCTTATGAGAAAGAAGTGAGAATTTCCGAGGATTTGGCAGTTACTTTACCAGATTGGTGCTTTTCAAAATAAATCATTTTTTTCTTGCCCACTATTTTAGAGTCTTTTTTCTACTTGTTTATGTTTACGGATTAGCATGATGTATACAGATGCATGTATAGCATGCCAAATACAAACAAAAATTTACAGAAATAATAAAAAATAAATGTGCAGCTATATATATTAGTCTGTATTAATTAATATTTCTTTTTTATACATGTTTTATTTTTGTATTTGAATCTAAATATATATTTTTTGTGGCAAAGGAACTACACACATCTGAACTTTGCCTTCTAGACCAAGGTGCTCGCCTACTGCGACTGGATAGCAGATTCTATGCATTGGGAGAATGCTGTTCATGCTGTCATCTTCGAACCCCACCTCATTCACCTCAACTCCTTCTCCTGCTCTGGGCTGAAGTAAAACTTCCTTGTACCATCATACATATGCAAATACATGCTGGCTTGCATGACCAGCAAACGAGTTTACAGCAGTATTGACAAAGAGGTACTGAATTTGGCCCGCATATGGCTTGGTACTTCTACCATCACTTGTCTCAAACAAGGCTTGCATGAACGACCCGTGCTGATTCTTCGTTTTGCTCTTGTAGATTTGCCCAAGAAGATTGATTGATTCAAACTTCTGTATCCAATTGTTAACAAAATTATTGGAATGACCAGCCTGACAATAATGAACAAGAGTTTGATCATCATATGTCTCACAATAGTATTCCAACAAATGCTCATATTCGGATTCATCCATGGAAATCTCATCCTTTAGAGCTAAAGAAAGTGCGGAAGGGAGCAAAGGCTCATTTCTCTTGATGATATCAAAGTTGATCTCAGGAGAATCAAGAAAAGCATTGATATCGAATTGGATTGAGGCGGCAGTGGAAGTGGAAGTGGCTATGGAATTGGCAGTGGATGCAGTGAGCTCAAGGATGATTGCCGAATGCTCAGATCGAATTATTGGCAAAGTTTGGCAAATAAGATCTCCCTGATATACTTCTTCAAGATACTTCTTCATATAGGTTCCCTCAAACCCGTCTTTTCTATTTGTTGCATAGTTTTTCAAGATATCATTGCATCTTTCGAAACTAAAAAGCCAATAGCCATAAACCGGGCCAAAGTTCAGTACAGTCTCTCGCAGATGAAGATGGAGATGCATGTTTGGCAAAAGGAATGGGACTTTATACAACTTCTCGCACTCTCTGCAGAAAACCTCCAAAGATTGATGGACTTCATCAAGGTGAGCCATGGATATGCTTGGCATTGAGAGGTACTGGCATGCATTGACAAATGTTGTCCAGTTACTGAGATAAGCTTCAGGTAGACAACCACGCAGGAGAACAGGAGAGTACACCAAGCACCAAGACTTCCACTCGTCGGCCTTCATGAATGGGAAGCCACGCCCAATCTTTGTCCCTAATGGCGTGTAGTTCTCTGGCAGTACAAGCTTGTCAGCATCCAACTGCATTTCGGCCAAGTGTGCATCTGTGATGAGACCTGAAGATCTCCATTTCTTCATTATCCTCTTTGCTGTTCCAAGGTACAGGTTGGGCATCAGATTGATGACAATGCACTCCATGAGGTTAAAGTAAACCAGGTCATGCAATTCTGACCATCGGACACTATTTTCCCTCTCCAATCTCTTTCTCTGTGCATCACTGCTGGCCATTCTCCACAACTCGGCATCACAGCAGTTTTTGGCATCAGTGCAAGGCACCCACTCAGAAAACATGAACCCAGAGTAGTCCACAGCATTGGAGTCTGGAAGGCGAGGGAACTGTTGGTTGCACTTATTGCATGTACATGTGCTTGAATGAGAGGTGAGCCCACAAGTCTTACAGGCAGCATGGACAAGAGCACCAGATGGACACTGTACAGTAGGCATCACCACACTGCCATACAACTGGTTGAGTTCCGCAACAAGGGGACGGAGGTAGTGATTGATCTCACTTGTCTTTGCTTTCTTAGGCCCTGGCATGAGACCAACAAGAACAACATTCTCCTTCTTGTACCATTCCGATCTTGGCAAGTTGTTGATGCAAAGATATATCACACCACAGGAGTAAGTGACCCCATCAAAAGGTTGAAACCAATCGATGTTCATGGTAAGCATTATGGAGCGCTTATGATTCACAAATGGTAAACCATTGCTATCCTTCAGACTGTTCCACTTCGTACCATTGTAAATGTCAAACATCATGCCTGGAACTTGCACTCTGATTCTCCAATGGCTGATGTTGTCTTTGAATCCAGGGCAGCAAAAAAGGATAGACAATGTTTTGATTATGGAGTTATACATGTAGATCTTTTTGGGGATAGTCAAGGCTCTTGATGTTGCAAAGAAAAGAGCGTTTCCACATTCTCTACCAGAGAGTCTCTTGAAATCACAACACTCTGGAACAACATTGGACTCTTCGTATACTTTGTTACAATCGCCACATGCAACAAACTGCTGGACACCTCGAGTCATGTTGCTGAGACTGGTCATAGAGTTGACACCATTTATACTGAGGGGAAGACGGAAAGACTGTCCAAAGTGTGCCAATACTTTGTTAAGAAACTTTAACAGAACAGCACTACCAGAATTGACAACATATTTGGATATGAAGAAGGCAGCAAAAGAAGCAATGAAAGCATGAGTAAAATTGACTGGCATATTGGATGAAGAAAAGTGCTCTATTTGAAAAAAAATCAATACTTGTTGACTTTATTGATTTATATGTGCTTTTTGTACTAACCTCTAAAATCATCAGATTCATCATCAGAAATATCCAAAATGATTGCTTCAATAATACTCTCATCTTCGCTTTCAGAATCAAATAAGGAATCAATGTCAAAAAGAAGTAAGTCTTCGACTGTTTTATTAGGTAGAAAAGAATCAAATTATTAGATATTATAAATGATTATAAAACTTTAATAAAAATACTATGCATATCTTCCACTTGATCTTCAGCATCAACATTGTCTTCAAAGTCAATCTCTATGTCATTGTCATTCGACATTACTTCTACAACTGAGGCTATATTATATGAAAATAAATATTTTATTAAAATTGTCTCAATAATAATTTTCTTAAATTTGAACTTACAAGAAGATCCTGACTGATATTGTCTCACAATATCCTGTTGTGCATGTCTTCTGTGTGTTTGAGCAGACACCAAAACAAATCTCATGCTATTGGAAGAGCATTTAGAGCACTTGCATTCTGAATTGCTGTTGTTGTTTGACATATTGTGTGCATATGTTTTATTTTTTAAGTCTTTAGAATTGCCAAGAATAGAAAATTGTTCAGGAACACAATTTAATATATATTTTTCCAAATTACATCAGCTTCCAAAATGACATAGTTTATTCCGGTTGTTAAAATGGGCAGTTCTCTAAACAGTAATTGATTGCCTCATTCTAAAATACAATAATACACACTTTTGTTAAAACATGTTGTCATATACATTTTATTAGCTGTAGAGCATATACAACAAAAATATTTGTAGTAATATCATGACCATTAACCTCATCATACTTATAAATAAATATTACAACAATAAAAAGCTTTATTATCTCACTCAAAAGATATCATTTGGTTTAAGTTCCCTACAACTATTGACTCAGCAACATGGCTACAAGTCCCAAAAAGAAATCTTGCAGACATTTTTTACAAAAAAGAGTAAACTCGTTTTTTTATCCAATAAAACAGACTGAGCATTATCATTGCCGTCGAAAATAAAAAAGACAAAAGTAATAGAAATTTAAGCTACCACTCCACAAATAATAGTATCCTACGCCATAGATGAAATTACCCTATTTTTCCAGTGTAAATAGAAGAAAAATTTACAAGAGAAAATAAAGAAGGTAGACAGCATCTTTAGAGAAAACTTTTGTATCAAAAAAAATTACAAATGTTTATTAATTGATTTTGAAAGGTTATTTATACTACTTTTTGGATAAAAATTATAGCAAAAATAGGTTGCACTGATGTCTAGGAGATAATTGTGATAAAAAAGATAGATAAAATAATTGTAGTCAAGATTTATTATGAAAGAAAAATAAATGAAATTATAATACATAACTACAAAGAATCAAAAAGATTGGAAAGAAGTATATTATAAAGAAATAAAAAAACTACAGTTAACAATTTCGGTAAAGTAGTGTTGAGAGGAAAACATCACATTTAGTGCATAAGAAAAGTAAGAAAACTAAAAGAGGGAGAAACTAATTTTGGGAAAAAATAAAGGGAAAAGAAATTTGTTTTCAGAAAATTAGGCGAAGAATAAAAATAAAAATAACAAGAAGTCAAATTTTTATAATAAGAAATCAAAATAATATAAATAACATTAAAATTAAAATTAAAATTAAAATATAAAATTATAATTGGGGGTTAGAGACTTTGTGACTGATTAAAAAGGTTGAAATCGATTGAAAAAGGGACTGGTACTGCAGCCAATTACTTTTATACAGTACCGCTTCAAACATATGAGGGTTTCTTGGTGTAGGTAAAAGATTTTTATTGAAAGGCTAGTGGGCACACGCACTATAGAGCTATTGCCCACCTTTAAGAGTACAAAAAAGAATAATAGAAAGGAAAAAAACCCAAGGGGGAAAATGGGAAAAACTAGAAAGGGAAACTAAGCTAGGGGATACAAAAAAAAGGGAGATAATGATAAAATATGAAGCATGCATTAAATTCATGCAATAAATGGAAACTAAGACTAATACAGATCTAAACTAAAAATGAAAGGAGATGGCCAGTCTCATTTGGGTAGCCAGTTCAAGAAGAGTTGTCCTCTGTCTGTTGCAACATGATCAGCAAGATCAACCCCAGGGAGACAGATCTGTTCTATGTCCAACATTATTCTACAAAGAATTGGCCAAGTAAAGATCCAGAAGGCATTGTTCTTGTTGTTTTTAGGTTTCTTCAGAGGCAGCATATTGAGTACATAATCAATTGGATTGGGTTATACTGTAGAATAGAGATGGAGACGAATTGCAGCTCCAGTGCACTCAATGACATGATGACGGCTGGTGGTATGCAATCCACAGGAACAAGGTTGAGGACGTCCAGGAAGCCACCCCATACGCCAACGTATGAATCTACTACGTTCATAGTTAGTCATGGGAAGCCAGAGAATAGGGTCAACACCAAGAGAAGGATGGCAAGCAGAGAGAAGTATTTGTTGAGAGCGTTGCAAGAAGAGGCCCTGGTTCAAAAATGAACGAATGGCATGCTTGCAAGCTTTAGAATCAGCATTCTGACGATTGGAGAGAGACAACCAAATGGGATTAGCTAAAAGCTTAAACCATTGGTGTGCTGGGTTTGTAAGAACAGGTCGAAGAAGAGTAAACAGAGCCTCATCAGGCAACCAGAAAGCACGATATACAAACTTGAAACCAAGAGTCAAGATCCTCTCCCTCATGCTAGGAAGATTCCCAAGGTGACGGAAAACAGATGTAGAAGATGTGGAGTGACCTCCAAAAATCATGCGTAAGCATGTGTTCTGGGCCTTTTCAAGCACAGCAACTTGTTTGATGTTGAAGCAGGATATTGCCAGGCCATACTCAAATTGTGGACGAATAAACTGGTGATACAAACGAATTGAGAGTAGACGTGACAACCCAGTGTGATTGACACCAAGTGATTGAAGAGCACGCATGCTGTTGATAGCAGAGACACAATTACGAGAGATGAGAAGAGATGGATCAATAGTCCCCTTTGCTGAGAAGGGAACACCAAGGTAAAGAAACGAATGAGCATGAGGAATAGGCACATTGTAGAGAGAGAATGACAAAGGAGAAAGAGAACAAGAATGGTGAAGGATCATGCACTTGGTGGGACTCCAACGATATCCTAGCTCTTGAGAATGTTGTTCAGCAGAATTCAGAATGACAGGCATAGCTTCTGGTGTAGCAATGATGGCAACATCGTCAGCAAAAAGTAGTGAATTGACTAATTGATCATTGAGTCTTGTGGCAGCAGTCTGGTTAAATACTGTGTTACAAAGTTCCCCTGCAGCACGAAGAGCAACTGGTAGAGAATTTATGTACACAGAATAAAGGTGGGGAGAAAGCACAGATCCTTGCATAACGCCAGTCAATGGTTGGAATGATCTGGATGTTGCACCAGAAAGCAACACCTCAACTTGAACATTGTCAAAAAGACTTTGTAACAAAGCTAACATAGCATCAGAGGCAAGAGGACGTAACGATGTCCATACTACAGAACGATCAACAGTGTCATATGCAGACTTGATATCAAGAAAAGCCAAGACTGGTGGTGCTTTGAATAGAGCTGTGTGACGACGGACCATCTCATGGAGACAAAGAACTTGATCAAGGGAGCTACGTTGACGTTGGAATCCACCCTGTGCAATGTTAATTGTTGGAGACACATCTTCAAGAGGAAACTGTAGACAATATTCCATGGCTTTTCTCAGGATAGACGTTAAGCTAATGGGACAATAGTTAGCAGGGTCATGAGTATCACCCTTTTTAAAGATGGGGACAACTTGTGCAGTATGCCATGCAAGAGGTGCAGAACCCCATTGCCAACAAAGCTGGAACAAAAGACAAAGAACAGGAGAGACTTGCTTAACAATTGGGTGAAGCATTTCAGCACGAAGATGGTCAACACCAGGAGCCTTGCGTGTAGGAAGCTTGAGAATTGCACTCTCTACAGAAAGATGAGTAAAAGGACATGATTCATCAATTGCAATTGGTGATGAAATCATCACTGTCTGGTCTGGAGGGCGGCGTGCAGGAAGAAATTGACCTGAGAAAATCTGTTGAAGATGATCAGCCATTTTGTTAGCAGCTACTTGAGGTCCACCCGGATCCACAAAGACAGGACTGGTTTGACGATGGCTTTTAATACGTTTCATTGTTGCTGTGGTCTTTGCAAAGTCTTGTGTTGCCAATTTGTTGCAGAATTCTTTCCATGTTTCACGTCAACGACGCTGGACTGACAACCTAACAGCATGACATGCATCCTGATGGCGCATCCAGCATATAGCCTTCTGCAAACCACTAGAATGACGCCAGTGTTGGTAGCTGCGTTCTCTCAGATCCATTGCATCTTGAAGGTCCACTGACCAGAACCAGTACTTTTGCATGGTACGTGGTGTACGACGACCAACAGCAGTGTCCAGAGCATCATAGATAGCTTGAGCAAAAGCAGAGCACAGAGAATCTACAGGAGGAGGAGAAGAAGAAGAAAGGAAAGCACTGAACTGCTCTGTCAGATTGTCCAATGACCCAGAAGCTGTATCAATGTAGATCTTGAGAGTGTCAGGCTGAGCAAGCCCGGAAAGATTCCAAAGTAGGCGCGGATGGTTAGTAGGGGGAGGGGGAGGTGAAACATAGGGAGTGAAAGTGAGGTTGACCATTTTGTGATCAGAGCCTAAAGAAAGATCAGAACGAATTTGCATAGAAGGATTGAGAAGGGGGGACGTAGAAAGAAATAAATCAATGACACTGGAACGTAAGGTACCAGAGCCACCAGAAAGAAAGGTAGGAATACCAAATGCAAGTAATTCATTCCAACAAGTGAGACCAGTTGCCTGGATCCACTGAAGAAAAGAAGATCCTTGCGAAGTAATAGCATGGTCACCAAGAAAGGATCCCATACGTGAATTAAAATCACCACAAAAAATAGTGTTAGAAGAAGGAATAGAAGAAGAAGAGAGGGGGAGGTCATAAAGAATAGAAATTGCATCGTCATTAGAAAGAGAAGGGGGAAGATAAATGCAATGAATAAGACAATCAAATACAATACAAGAAAGAACATAAGGAGAAGAAGAAGGAACAATAGAAATGGGGTAAGGGAAAGAAGGATTTACAAGAAGAGAAATACCCATGCAGCCACGGCTAGCATTGGGGACAGACTGACCATAGGTATGGTACTGCTGCCAAGAAGTAGGATAACGATGGGGGGACAAAAGCCACGTTTCAGTGATAAAAAGAAGGGAAGTAAGTGGAGCATATGAAAGGATCGTAGGTATGGTCTGTTTTGCAAGACCATTTGCATTCCATAATGTAATTGTTACTGGATTCATAGATCAGAGAATGAAGGGATGGTGATGCTGGCAGTATGTATAGAGATGTCCAAGTCTTTTTTGGTGGGTCGTGGGGGAACAATCTCAGCTAGTTGGTCATCACTAATCCATCCCTGAGAGCAAAAGGAACGTGCAACAGCAAACTTGACAGGAGCCCTAATGAATTCAATGGCACGTAGCATACGATCATTGTGAACATGTATAGCTTTTGTTGCCCTATCATCAAGTGAAAGAGAGGCCAGAGCTGGGTCACGGAGGTGAACAGGGTCCAGAGGATCAAAGTTATCCAAAGTAGTAACACCATAACTCGCCAAGATAGTCTTGAGCTCAGGAGCATACTCATTATGTACAAGCATTCCCATCACCTTATGATCAGGATAGTGGAGATCCAGCACACGTGCATTGTCTATCTTTAATTTGCTAAGACGTTGACGTTGAGTACTAATGGGGAGACGGATAGCATTAGGTACATAAACAATTTGAAACCCTTGATCAGCATTTTCTTTAATTGTCATGCCACGAACAACAGCAGCAATGGCCCTAGCAGTTGGAGCCCTTTTACATGGTGTTTTAGAAACGAAAGTCTTGGTGGGTTCAGTGGAATGATGGGTCTGGAATGCAGGAAGTGATGGAAAATCAGCCTGAGAAACAACTGGAACAGAGGCAGCAATAGTAGCATATTTGGATGCTGCAGCACCAACAGAAAAATCAACATTCTCCTTTGTCAAACGTGCAATAGTGGCGTTTGCAGTAGCAAGAGCCTTACGCAACTCAATGTTCTCTTTTTGAACAGCCTCCAATGCAGAAAGACGTTTATCATAAGCCTGGAAATGGTCCCAAATATCCTGAAGAGTGGGCATTACAGTTGGAAGAACAGGTGCAATGTCAGATTCAATTTCATAGATATCTGCCATGGAAATACTATGACCCAAGATGGAAACAGAAGGGGACACAACAGGCTCACTTGCAGAATGAACTTCAGGAATTTTGTGTTGGACTGCATTGATCAAAGATTGCATGGATGAAGCAGTAAATGTTGCACCACATTTGCATTTAAACTGTGGGCTACCAGTACGAGAAGTAGACCCATTAGAAACAATTTTGCCTGTAGTCTGGCAATGTGAACAGGAAAAAACATTGTGCAATTCTTTAAAGTCTGCCTTGAGGTCAGACAAAATGAGAGCAGTGGGAGTAGGGCGGCCAGTGGAATTAATCACCTGTTTTTGGGAACCAATCATTGTTGGAGGAGCTTGAAAAAAAAATTCGTGGGAACCAGGAGCAGGCAAAGCAGAAAAAGAAAGGTCTGAAACTGGGACAAAAAAGTGCGAAGTTGATGGTAAAACACCAGAACCACCTTCAGAGAAGGAGAAAAGAGCTGGAGACGATAACAGAGGTACAGGCAATCGAGATGTAGTTGGAGATGCTGACAATCTTGAGTGATTTCGGCACAGATGTGAAGATGATTGCAATGATGATTCCAACAATTTGAAAAAAAGTCAATTAAAAAAAATGAAAATTGGTAGATATATAAAAACAACTATGACAATCAATCCTGCTGCAAAAAACAGATAGGTTTGATATAGTAGTTATAGAGAAAAAGAGGTAAAAGTAAAACTGTGCTAGGTTTGAATTTAAAACTAATTTGGTTGTGGAAGAGAGTGTGTGGTTTCTTGGTGTAGTTGGTTATCACGTCTGTCTAACACACAGACGGTCGCCAGTTCAAGTCTGGCAGAAATCATTTTGTTGTTGTTGGATATTATTTTGATGAATTCATAAAAATTCTCAGACATTAGTGTCAGAGTTGACATTGGTAACCAAAATCGGGATTTACAAGCAACCAGTAATGGTTGACTTTTTAAGATAAAAGATCTTTACTTTGCCGACAAGTCTTTCACATATGTTTTAGATCACTGTAGGAAATGGCAGGACTTACACCTCTAACCTTATAACAAGTTATGAGTTTGTAACTTATACTATTTAAAAGTCCATATTTAACATCCCGACCTTGTAACAAGTTACGAACTCATAACTTTTATAGCCAATAGCATGCCTGTATTAGCCTATTAGTTTTACTTTTTGTCAAATACGATTTATGGGATTTTCTATTATTTTGCATCTAAGCCAATAAAATATTCTAAATATGGCAGATCTATATCTTTTTAGGTATTTGTATTCTCTTTATGATTGGTTCAACAAATGCATGATGTTTTATATTGATTTTTTTTTGGTTTTTATTGATCAAAATAATACAAGTTAAACATAAAGAAGTATGCAAAGAAGAAGTACTAATTTTTATGATATTTAGTAACAGCTTAAGCTATATATTCATTAAATAATATCCATATATATATTTTTATATGATACTTTTTACATTGTTTTATTTAAAAAAAAAGCTATTCTCTAAGTACTATGATATTGATGAAGGCATGTATATTTCTTAATTGATTCTTTTAATCAAAGAGTATAAATCTGCTTTGTGTTAACATTGTTATGCCTGATTCCTACATTTGAAAAAACAGAAGACAGATTCCCTGCGATTCTCAAAATCAACCGAGATCTCTAATGAGCATGCAAGCAATCTTGACAACCAAATTGTACTTGATGCAGATTGTGATATTTCAGATAGAAAACAATAGAAAAATAAAAAATTGATAATAGAGACGTATAGAAATACTTTTAGGCTGTATATAAGTTGTCTTTTATTCATAAATACAAAGTATTTCTTTTTATAAGAAAACACAATCTGCTCTTGTTATTATGTCTTAGTTTCTTAAAGCTTTCTTCCTTTACTATATTTGATTATTAGAGTGTATTTACTGCTTAACTAGTGTTGGTGTTACAATTATGACATCAAGTCATAAATCGTACTTCTTTAGCTCATAGCTATTATTTTCTCTTTTACACTAAAGCTTTAGAACTTCCTACTAATTTAGCTCCATATCGTTCTGATACAGTTTACCTGGCAGTATGATATAATTATCTTAACAATCTTTAATATATTATCTACAGTACTAGCTGTAATAATTATTGGCTTGATTACTTAATCGTTTATATATATTTTATACTGACAAGATGATAGCTACTATGTTATCCCAATATGAATATGTTCTTATATGTTATAAATCCAACATCTGGATGTCTGGATCACCACACAGATATTTTTCTATCAATTCTTCTCAAGTTATTTTCTTTTGTCAACTTTGCTGATTCGTATTTTATTAATACTAGCCTTCATAATTATTAGGTGTGTTCTTTTTAGAGACCTTTAATAATTTAGACCTTGTGAAAAAATAGAATTAAAAAAGACTTTTACAAAATAAAAAAACAACAATGCATTAAAAAGTAATCACAGTCATTACTTTTTGATGGCAAAGACTTCTTTTAGTTCAGATTAAAAATATAAGTAATCTGTAGGTCATGTTTGTTCTTTTCGTAGTTTTGCAGTCTGATAAGCAGTTTCACATATTATATTTATCTAAAATGATCTTCTGGTTTAAAAGTAAGACAATACTGCTTGAATATCAGCTTCTGCGTACTAAAATAGGTTTAGTACATACTAAACTTAGTAAGTGTGTGTCGGACTTTTCGAGTTACGAGTTTTGGACAGAAAGTTACAAGTATTGTTTTATACTTGTAATTCATTTTCTACAGTAGATATTTAATATGGTGAATATACTTGTAGAAGATATTACTTGACAACAAGTATCTAAGACATATTATTGTAGCTATTCTTTTAGCCAGAAATCAAACATCATTTTGTATAAATAGTCAAGAAATATAATTAATAAAAAGCATCTGTATTCTTATCAAAAAAACTATTCTTAAAACTTGACAATCTCCAGTGGTATTGATTCTGTGACTTAGTTACAAGTGCTAAAAAAGAAATATTAGATTGAGACTTGACAATAACATCTTATCTAATTGTTGTTTTTGATCTGGGTTGTTCTTCCAATGCTATAACTTAGCCAAAATTAGTCAAACCCACTGGTAATCATAAACAAAGATAAAATAATAAAAAGAGAATAGAAAGATAGATAACTTTTATTAAATGAAATAACACCCTCTTTTATATCTTTTCTAAACCTACTCAGTCATTATAAATGTCTGTTTTGGTTTCTATTCTACTTTTGTTAAGGTATGTGCTTTCTAATTCTTTTGTGAGCAAAAATAAATCATTTCGGTTATTGTTCTCAAGAGATTTCTGTGTAATTGTCATCCTGATTGGCTGACAAGAATTTGGGTATAACATAATGTTGTCATTCCTGATCTGGGTTGGTCTTTCTTTTACTATAACAAAGTCAAAAGGTCAAACCCACTGGGAATCAAGGAGTATACATAAAATCAAAGAGAGAATAAAAGATACTTTTTATTGATATAAATTGAATTATCTTATATAGTTTTCTAAACTAATACTGCGTGTTGTGGTGGTTGAAGTTGAAGAAGTTTTTAAGAGGAAGAATTCAAGATTTGAAATTAGGAACGAAGATTCGTGAGAACTTGTGTAGGTTTTGTTTATTGAGAAAGATTTTGTATCAAAGTTTGACCAGGTTCCTATACTGAACTACTACTGCTATTTATATTGTTTTGGATTGGGAAAATTATATGACTAGAGTCAGGTAATCAATCCTATCTGAGCCTTAATCAGAGCAACGTGATCCTGTGATAATTAATGTATGATTAATTATATAAATGTGTGTAGTCCCAATGAAGTATTAATATCGAAAGTAAATGTGTTTATGAGTTATAATTATGCTTATAATAATCCACTGATGTATCTCATATTATGGTGATATCATCATATGAAATATAATCACTATCATGCATGCTAAACCTATGCGTTAAATAATAAAGTAATCGGTAGACACCTTTGACTGGAATAGCTGAGGCCTTATATTATTTCCTTCAGACTTATTCTCAATTACAGCAGTAGTCAATACTCATTTACAACACTGCGCATTATCTGCAGTAGCTATTATATTATATTTAAATAAAAGAAGAGTCATTATACTGCAGTTAATGCTCAGGAAGATGTTATTGTGCATAACAAAATACTGTGGTTAACTATCTTCAGATTTTACGGATTCATCAAAATAATGTTGCCGTGTCCGAATTCTTGTCAGCCAATCAGGATGACGATTACACAGAATTCTCTTTTGAGAACGATGACCAAAGTGATTTCCTTTTGTTCACAAAAGAATTAGAAAGCACATAGCTTAACAAAAGTAGAAGAGAAACCGAAACAGACATTTATAATGGCTGAGTAAGTTTAGAAAAGATATAAAAGAAGGTATTATTTCATTCAATAAAAGTTATCTATCTTTCTATTCTCTTTTTATTATTTTATCTTTGTTTACGATTCCCAGTGGGTTTGACCAATTTTGGCTGTGTTACAGCATTGGAGAAATAACCCAGATCAAAAACTGTCGGACATTATTTTGATGAATCCGAGAAATCGGGATAATTGACCGCAGCAGTTCTGTATGTCAAAGATACCTCATAGATAACAAACCGCAGTAATGTCTTGTAAAGATTAACCACAGTAACATCTTCTGAGCATCAACCGCAGTAAAGGACTTCTCTTGTAATTAAATAGAGTATAATAGTTTACTGCGGATAATGCGCAATATTAGTTTAGAAAACTATATAAGACAATTCAATTCCTATCAATAAAAAGCACTTTTTATCCTCTCTTCGATTTTACATATACTCTCCGATCCCCAGTGGGTTTGACCTTTTGACTTTGCTAAAATAAAAAGGAAGACCATCTTAGATCAGGAACGACAAAACAACAATCTCGGACAAGATAAAAACCAAAAATCTCTCCGACCGGGAATTGAACCCGGGTCTCCCGCGTGACAGGCGGGGATACTTACCACTATACTATCGAAGAATACACTGAAATTACACAAATCAATATTATTAAAAACCGTAAGTACCAAAATTTCGGTTGACCAGCAGTGCGGTGATGTTGCACAATTCTTTGTAGTTCTAGAAAAATTATATTCTATTATTATATAGCGTTCAGGACAGCCTCAAAATTATTTTCCTATCCAAATTTAGAAATGCCGCATAGTAAAAAATAAAAATAATTCCACTTATATTTGCCTCAACAAGAAATAAGTCCAACTTATATTTGTGCAGGACTTTACAAGCTCAAAAGTAATATAAAATAGTATAAAAGAAATAATCCAAGACAGTAAGAAAAGAAGTCTGTAATTCAAAAAGTATTTAATATAGTATAAAATAATCTATATAAATTATACTTGTCATACACAACTTATATACACAATACTTATATTTCTTTACGTTTAAAGCCATATATTTGTCAAAAGACATATAATTATTCTAATAAAAAAAACAATTATAGATAAAAAAGATTCTAAACGTTCTATTAAAGTAACTTTTTATACAAACTTAAGTTTTTTAATGTTTTTTATTAGCTAGTAAATATGCTGTTTTGGTTTTTCCTAAGAAATCTAATATCTTTCTCCCCAAGACCCTCCTCTCCTCTGCCAAGTGCATTGTCATTTCTTCAGACAACCCACTTTCCCTTGCATGCTGTTGTAAATGAGTATTGACTACTGCTGTAATTTAAAATAAGTCCGAAGGAAATAATATAAGGACTTAGCTATTCTAGTCAAAGGTATCTACTAATTACTTTATTATTTAACACACAGATTTAGCATGCATTATAGTGATTATATTTCATATGATGATATTACCATAATAGGGCACTACGGTGGCATGAATGACAGTTGGGCCGAAAGTAGGCACATAACTGCCATTTTTTTTAGTCAAAACCCAATAAAATCTCCGCCATTTGTTGTAAGATGGTAATGTCATTCATAGCAATTTAAAAAAGTAACATAAAAACACTTTTTTTGTTGCTGTATAATATTTTCAATATTGTAAAAAATGTTTGTAAGTTGTAATGACCACTTTGAGTATTGAAATATATGTTTTATTAAATATCAAAGATGTCAACAATTATTAAGATTAATAATTTTTGAAATGTGTGAACGAAATAGTAACATAACTGCCATTTTTTCATTTTTTAAACTATGTTCTTTTTTTTTAGATATTCTTTTTATCTTGATGAATTAGCAATTTGATTTTATTTAAATCACATAATAGCATATAGAGCATATAGGGAATGAAGACAAAAGCATAAGATGTATAGAGAATAGAAAAAAAACCAGAGTATATAAAGAAAAAAAGAAAGACGGGGCATATAGAGATTAAAAAAACATAAGAAATAGAGAAAATTAAAAAAAATATAAGATACAAGGACGATATAAAAAATATAAAAGATATAAGAATATAGAGCATATAGAAAAATAAGATAAATATAAAAAGAATTACAGAATGGAAAGATTGCCTTTAGTAATGCGCATATTGTTGTTAAAGATATAATAGGGCGTGATTACATAAAACTGGTTTCCATTCGGTGGGTATTGGATCAGACCAACTTGATGACAAATGTCATTTACACTTATAACTGCATAAGTCGGTTGCGTTTGGTGGCCTAGTGTATGGGTGCTTTGTGACCGTTGTTTGACGATAGGTACTGATGAGTCATGACCAGCCGCGTCATGTTCCTTCATGATCTCCACAAAAGCAAGAAAGTGTGGGAAGCCATAGAAATCTACATGCTGAAAGTAGAACTGTACTGTACCGACGAGCCAGCTGTGAACAATTATATTATGGTTGCTAAAATAAATAAATAAATAGAATGTAAGCAACTTTTGATTGTATATCGAAAAATATTATACTTACTTTCTATAGAGGCAAGTAAACATCACATAATGGTTGCCATGGCTGGTCTTGTTTTTCTTTCTTTGGTACATGCATGAGAAATATACAGTCAAATCCATCCACAGACGTGCAGCTACAACAACAACAGAGTCACCAAACTCATGGCCAGTCAAGTCTGTTGTTCTCTGGTAATATTTCAATAAAGCTTCCTTCACACTAGGGCCGCCTACACCTTCCACCGAATCATCATTCAAATTAACAAACTGATGAAATGGCTCCCACAACTGCACACCACTAGGATCATTAGGAAGGTCCATGTAGCTCTCTCTTCCATATGGCTTTGACCAAATGAGGTTGACTTCATCACAGATGCTGATTGCTAAGCTGGTATAATTGTGAATCGCAAATTGCTTGATGAGAAAACTGGTGTTTTGGCTACCCTTTGATTTGGACTTTATCAATTTCAAGAAGATGCCAATTACTCTCTCCATTGAGTGAGTGGAGTAGCATTGCAGAGGGCTTTGCTGCTTGATGATATAGGGTATATAGACCAGGTAATGTTGAACTGGTCGGAAAACACTATGAGACAGGGTATTATTCTGGACTTGTTGGTATAAAAACGAGTGCCAGTGCTTGAAGTATCTATTATTAATATTTAAAAAATGGTAACAATCAGCTATTTGTAATGATAATATATGAGACGTATAATAACTTACAACTCCATCTCATCAAGCAATTCTGATGTCAACGTCTATTGCAAGGCAAGTGCGCAACCTTTCACAAGAGATAATAGAGCTGTTTTGACAGCCCTATTTGGTAAATAAGGCACGACCAAAGTGGGGACAAGGTATAAGAGAAAGTCAAGCCAGTCCACTGCGTGAGTACCATCGATCTTGGCAAATACGTTGTCAAAACTGCCTTGAAATGAGGTGAATATATATTTTCGTGAGCTGGTGATACAGTTTCCAATTGTTACAAGGTCTGCTCTTGGTATATGAAAAGGGTATTCAGTGGTATTGAGGGTATTGTCTGGATAGATATAATAAAATTTGGTTTCCTTTGTGAGAGTGACGGTAATCAGGTCATACACAAACTTTCCAATCCCTCTTGCAATTAAATGAAGTTCATCTAATGCAAAAAATGATGATCCAGAAAAGGTTGAGAGTTAGGTATATATGCTCGGCTGGTATATGTTCTTCGACTATTACAAGCAGTTATTTAGTATGAAAAAAAGATGGCTAATTGAACATTTGTATACTTACAGGGTTGCCTACTTTGAAGTCTTCCAAAGGTCTTAACCGGGCAGAAATGTCATCAAAGTACATGCCATGCCGTCTGTTAGTAGGGCATTTGCCTTTGATCTCACAAAAACGGCAACCAAATAAACTTGTTTGAGAACCAATGTGGGCCATATCAGCTACAGCTGGAATATCGCCAAAAGCAAGCAGCAGATAGACCTTGGATCTGCAAAGCTCCACTCCATTGTGCTTGACAACCAAGCCATGTGCCTTAAGATCTCGCAATTTATTGATGATGGGTATAAGAAAGGAGTCCAAATGAGTTGGCTTCTTGGGGCCAGGCAAGATTGCCAGTTGCAAAAGGTATTTGTTGGTATATCTAAGTATTTTATTAGTAATTTTTTTTTAAAAAAAATGTAATAATAATAATAAATAGTAATAAATTAATTAATTACCTGATGGATGGGTCTAGGCTGAATATTATGCAATGGATGATGGTATATGAGTTTTTGCCTTTCTTTTGATTGACAAACCCATTGGTATAAAGCCCAATGGCAATATCATCGGGATTGGAGAACAGGCCCTGCTGCACCAACTGCTTGTAATTGTCACCATCAAAAATGTCGGTTAGCTGACCAGCTACAGATTCCCGGTTTGCTCTGTAACAGAGGAGTTCTCTTGTGGCTGGATCTGCCAACATTTGAGAAAGCATATCCCCAACTGACATAAGTTTCATACTGGCAGCTGGTGTCTGACTTTGATTGGGATCAGTCTTGTATCGCGGTTTGCCGCAGTCAACACAAGATTCCTGGTCGTTATTAATGCCATACAGTCAACAACCACTAGAGCAGACATCATACTCATGGCCCTTGACACTTGACTTTGACTTGAGCAAAGCATCAACAGTTTCGCCATGACTGATCTTAGCCCCAGGTTCTAAAAAAAAACGATATCACTACATGTTAGTGATCTGGAATTAAAGTACAAGGTAACAGAAAATATAATATTTTACCTATCATTATATCGTCATGGTCTCGGATGACAGTGTTTATAAATTGAACAATGTCTCTATATGCTGCTCTAGCAATTCTATGCTGTAGCATCAATTGAGACAGATGAATACTCATCAACTCGGCCTTGGTAAAAGTATTTGTACTGATTCGGCTGCTGTCGTAAATGTGAGCTTCACCCTCACTGTCCTCAAAATTACATGCGCACTTATATGAAATAGTATTATCAAGCTCCATAGACTCCATAGTATATTCTGTAATACATTATTTAGTAATTGGAAAATAAATAATACAATTACAGCTCTTTTCATTACCTGAATTGCTAACAGATTCATCTTCATTACTAGTATCATTTTCGTCATGGTACATGTCAAAATCATCCAGAATAGACTGGTCAATTTCAGTTATTGTTGCTGAATCTCCTCTGTGAATTCTCTTGTGGTTTTGCAGCTTCTGGTAGTTATCAAAAAACAAGACACATTGATCACATTGGTATTGCTGTGTAGATATTCTATCTCTCTGCTGGCTGGCGTTGGAAGAAGACATATTGGTTGGGTTGGTACGTATGTAATATATAAAATAAAGCTGCGAAGAGGATTTTGGTGCTATTTATTAAATGTAAAAGACATCTTTATATACTCTTTATTTTTTAACCAAAATGCTTGCGGCTCTTTTTCTTTTTCTCTCTCATAATGATGATATAGCAATGATTACAGTAATGTCAATGCTAGGTGAAACACCTGTCAGTAAATAATTCCCGTGGTTGGAAAGATTCTTCTTCATTAATAATTATGATGTAAGTTAAAATACTTCTTGGTTGACAAGGGGGTACCATTAAAAGAGCACTGGTGAAACAGACACGTACTCTTTACTTGTGAGCGATTAGATATTCTTTGGGCTTTATAAGGAGGTATATGTATATTTAGGATAATTAATGACTAAATAATTTATGTTTTTTTTTAAATAAATTATCAATTACTCTCTAATACCAAAGGCAAAGAAAAACAGCCTTCTAATAATTAACAGTTAAAAAAAAGTAGTACTGTCTAAACACATTGATAGTGTTGTGGTGGTTGAAGTTGAAGAAGTTTTTAAGAGGAAGAATTGAAGATTTGAAATTAGGAACGAAGATTCGTGAGAACTTGTGTAGGTTTTGTTTATTGAGAAAGATTTTGTATCAAAGTTTGACGAGGTTCCTACACTGAACTACTACTGCTATTTATATTGTTTTGGATTGGGAAAATTATATGACTGGGGTCAGGTAATCGATCCTATCTGAGCCTTAATCAGAGCAACGTGATCTTGGGATAATTAATGTATGATTAATTATATAAATGTGTGTAGTCCCAATGAAGTATTAACATCGAAAGTAAATGTGTTTATGAGTTATAATTATGCTTATAATAATCCACTGATGTATCCCATATTATGGTGATATCATCATATGAAATATAATCACTATTATGCATGCTAAACCTGTGTGTTAAATAATAAAGTAATTGGTAGACACCTTTGACTGGAATAGCTGAGGCCTTATATTATTTCCTTCAGACTTATTCTCAATTACAGCAGTAGTCAATACTCATTTACAACAGATAGAAAAGACATATTTATATTATCTGTGTTGTACTAATAATATTTTTGAGATAGTGAATATATATTTAGCTAATAGCATTATTTTCTTGTTTATGTATAAAACTTAAAGAAATAGATATAGATAATGAGGGCTATAGTCTGATACTCTTTTACTGACATCATCAAGATAAGCACTACTGATCGAAAGGGGTGTTAATTGAAAGTGCCGATGTGAGTTAAAGCACACCTTTTTCAAAAATGTACGGTTTCAGTCAAAAATGCCCCTTGGTAAATAATAGTAATGACAGTTAAAATTATTTTTATCTTTGATGACAGCATCAATCAAAACGCGTTTTAGTCGATAATGATAATAAGTATGATATGAACTTGAGTATCATAACATTTACTTTAATATTGATAAAAAGGGGCTAATTAACTATATGATGTTCAGATGTTATATAGCTACTGTAGAGTATATTTAAAGTTATAATTTTAACTGGTACAGGGTTTTGTCATCAAGAACTTTAACCAAATTTCATGCTATATCTGCAATATGTATAGAGTTATATTATTATATCATATACTTTAAAACGTTTAATATGTAGACGGTGCAAAGTATGAACATTTATACATATAATATTAATTTAAAGTCTAATTCATTTTATCTTTATATTTCTTACAGTTTTGTTGTGTCGACACAAAAAGACTGTATCATGTTCACATGAGCTACTGCAGACAGGTGCAGACAGGTGCATACAAGTGCATAAGCATCCCTTCTTTTATATGTTTTGTTTGTACATCTGTCTGTATCTTTTTCATATAAATAGCTATCAATTGCTTGTAATAAATCGTTGCCTTTCTCAAACTCAAATCGCTCTTATTCTACTTGTCTAAACTATCACCTTTTCTTTTCAACTCACTGCTTATAGCTAAAAAAAAACTTAAACATGTCCGATATTAACACAACTCTCCTCAACTCAATTCAAAAGATTGAGGTTAATCTTGCTGAAATCAAGCAAGCATTGCGCGAGCTTCAAAGGCAATTCAGCAATCAATTTGCGCCAGCAGTCAGTGCGGAAGATCTAACTACATGCAACAAAGCATTATTGAGTAGAGTTGTAAGTCATATATATTCTGTGCTTAGATGTTTATTTACTTTATTAATATTGTCATATATTTTTTGTAGCTCTTGAGCGTATTGCCGAGTCTGTGAAAAGAGCCCAGCTCACAGAGTACCCTGATCAGCTCGGTAAGTGAGTAATCAATACTGGCGGCGAGTTCAAAGGAAAAAACGAAGCACAAAAATACAATCTGTTGCTTCAGATTCTTCACGAGCAGGACTGGAAGGCGCGCTGCAAAGAAGTTCCACAAGGGCAGCCTTTGCCCCCATTAGTCCCTCTTTCAGACCATGATTTGACAGTAAAAAGACTGCATCTCAAAACATTAGGCCGTACGGTAAAGCATGATATCATTGACAAAGACTATCCTGCGGCCTCAAAAGAATGGAAGAATATCCCAGAGAAAAACAGGGAATACTACATGATGCATTTGGAGAGATTGGCGAAGAATGGTGGATTGCACATCCACCAATGTAAAAGAATGTGGTGTGCAAGAAGCCTTCTTCGGGAAAGCTTCAAGAGCGACAACCAGATGCACAAGAGAAGAATGGCAGAGAAGAACAAAGTAAGTTTATCAATTAACAAATCTATATATTGTAAACTTTAATTAACATCATTTCCTTTTATTATGCTATAGACACAGCGAGACATAAGTGATTCTTCGCTTTCTTCTCCTGATATGTCAGAAACTGGTGATGTTGAGTCACCCATAATGGCAGATGTGCTGTAAGTTACCATTGTTGCTTTTTCTCATGCACTGTTAATACAAAACTAATATAAACTTCTTACTCTTTTATGTAGGTCTCCTCCACCCACAGCAAGTGTCGAGCCTGCTCGCAAGAGAAGCCGAAGATCGTAGTTTGGCTGCTGTGATTGGCCAAGTTTGATTTTTTTAGTCTGTCTTTAGTGCATTTTTTTCTTATCTCGTCATTTTTCTTTTTATGTTTTTTATTCCTTTTTTCTTTCATATAAAAAATTTATTGACCTCTTTCATATGATTGCTAATGTTGTGATTACAAGAATTTGAAGCTAATTTACAGCATCTACAATTCCGCTACATTCAAATATAAAAGGAAATAGTATATAGCCTTTTTTTTGGGAAAAAAATTAATAGTAATATTTTTGTACTGATATATTATACTTGGGAGTCGTTCTATTATATGTAAGTATATTGAGTAGAATAAACATGTTGAGCTTTCTAACAAGATGCTCATTCCGGTTGTATGAATCAGATTCGAATTAGCTTCATGTTATATGACTTGAATCTTTGCTCAAGTTTTTCTTCTTCTATGATAACGACTTTCTATAGTGCTTATGTTTTATTGCTTTTCTTATATATAGATCTTAAATATTAATACATTCTTTAATATATATATATATTTTTAGAGTAAATGCTTATTTTACTGAACAAGTAAGCATATTATATAAAGGTAAGCATTATAATAATATTATATCTATTTATTTATTTTAAGTTTTTTCTCTAATATTAGTATATTTGTAGAAATCGGTAAAAAATAATAAGTGCTATCTAAGGTATATTAGAATACCCAAAGTATATGAAATATAATTTGAATAGTAGTGTTTTACTGCATACGTTTTGCAGTAGCTAAACAGAACCATTTTTTATTGTGAGTGGCCGATGGAATTGTTTTTTCATTATTACTATTATTATTATCATTTTCATTTAATAAAACATGCATTGAAATAAAGATTCAATTCAATTAAACCTGATTCAATATTGTATAATAAGAAACAGAACATTCTGTTAAAGCTGCAAAGGAAAAACAAGAGGTTGTGCTAGAATTGAAAGCAATAGAACAAAAGAAAGAATGTAATAGAGGAAAGGAAGGACACTTGATTTTTTTTTTGAAAAATGGTAACAGTGCCTGTTTTGGCTTTTTACATAATAAATAACTGCCATTTTTTATTATAAAAAAAATGGTAACAGTGCTTGTTTTGGCTTTTTACATAATAAATAACTGCCATTTTTTACTATGTAAAAAATGGTAACAGTGCCTGTTTTGGCCTTATACAGAGTCATAACTGCCATTTTTTATTAAGTAAAAAATGGCAGTTATGTTACCAAAGTGATAACATGTTACCATTTTCTCCACCGTAGTGTTAGTTAAATATAGTGAGAAAATAACATACGATATGTGGTTGCGTGAAGTTATTGTTGACAAAATGATGCTTTTTCATTGTACTTATTATTGTTTTGCTCTACAAATAGAAAAATTGCTTTCTATTCAGCTTTGACCACCATTGGAAAATCAAAAAATAATAATAGAATATAATTTTTCCAGAATTACAAAGAATTCTGCAACGTCACCACACTGCTGGACAACTGAAGTTTTGCTGAAAGCTGATCATTCTTACAACACCCCGCGTCAAAAGAGTGACATGTGATATGTTAGGTTTATTATAGATTGTAACGGATGATTTGGCAAATAAAATACAATGATAATAGAATAGAACAGAAGACAGATACAGCAAAAGGTGGCAAGCAGCAATAGTTGACAGGTAAGAAAAGAGAGAACAACTGATAGAATCATTGTTAAAATTGAGAGAGAGAGAAAGGTATGTGAAAAGAAAATGATGAAACAGAAAATTAATAACCGATGAGGAGACCAAAACCGACAAACAACCTTCCTAAAACCAAGGAACCAATATGTTATTTCGCAAGATGATATAGACTACAAAGAGAAGAAAACAAGAAAAAGATACTGAAACTGAACGAAGAATTGCTTGATTTATTGAGTTGAGTTTGCTTCTCTTTCTTATAGTCAATAAGATTTTAAGTTGATAATAGAAGTTAGGAAAAATAAAGATAGTAAAAATAGAATGATGAATAATCGATACGGCAAGGATAAAATATATGAATAAAAATACAGTAAAAATATAATAATAAAGGTACTGATGTTGTGTGGAGATGTCGGCAAGATGAATTATGTGCATTGTAGAAGAGAAATGTTACTAGCATGAGGGACCATGATTTCAAATGAGTACAATGTAAATGAATATGTTAACAAGGGAAAAAGAAAAAAGTATTGTATGTATTAAGTATGAGGTAAAAATAAGATATAAAATAAAGCAAGTGCAGACGAGAGTACAGTGAGACTTTGTTTTATTAGAAGAAGTGAAAGAATCAGAAAAGAGATGCTGTTCTATTGCTATTAGTATTGTGCATTTATATAGACATTGTATTTAGCTTGGTGATGATATGATGATATCATGTAATGTCTGTTTCTCTATCATTATCTTCTATGATTTAATTCTTATGTTTTTAGTGTTATTGACTAGAGTCTTAGTATTTGTCTTAGTATGTTCTTTATGTAATTTCCTTGTATAAGGGAAGGTATATCTTTTAGTATTGTTACTAGTTGTCGGTAACTCAATGTATGTATTTATTGAGTGTCTGTACTTTTAATTTAAATCTACAATTATGTTGGATACAACAGTGTGTAGAAAAAACAGGGAATGGAAACAAGATTTTTTCTGTGCATAGAAAAATTCTCCTCTTACTACTGAGGACACAGCACCATATCAACAAACCGTTGACGTCAGCCTCTCATAACCGAGATGACACATTGCAACAAACTGCCGGACAAACCCACCAAGCAGACTGACCTTCTGGTACCAGACACCATAACATGGCCAAAAGCTGGACTTGCACACAACATACGTGACAAGACAATGTCGCATGTAGTATGTTGTTATGTGTAGAAGATGTACAAGAAAAGATAATTGTATATAAGAAGAGAAATTGAGGGTTTGAGTTTGATATCGGATAAATTGAGGTTATAAAATAGTCTCTTTATTACCAAATAGACGAGTTAAAGAAATAAAAAGGGAAACTAACACTAAGATAAGAGTGTAAATAATTTGAATGATTAGAGAAATAGTTAAACTAAAAGAAGTGAAGTACATAATACTAATTCTAAAGAGTTAACTATGAGAAAAAAATGTTTAATAGTGTAAAGGATTTAGCTAAAAGGGAAATTTACTATGATAAATTTACTAAGAGATAAATAAAAGGGGAAATCGGGACAAAATAATAAAATAAAAGAGGATTGTCAATCTTCCCCAAAGACTTGACAGAAAAATAAATAAAATGGAAGAAATTTTACAAGAGAGATCAGAGATAATAGACAACGTCTTTGAAGAAAACTTATATCAGAAAAATTTGACAGTTGTTTATTAATTGACTTTAGAGAGATATTTATACCATTTTATGGATAAAATATATGGCAAAAATAGGCTAGATAAAACTTGATGAGATAATCGTAAATAAAAATATAAAGAAAAATAACTATATAAATATTTTGTCATGAAGGAAGAAATAGATGAAGTTATAATATATAACTACAAGAAAACAAAAATATTGGAAAGAAGTATATTGTAAATAAAGGGAAAAACTATTCAGTTAACAATTTTGGTAAAGTAGTGTTTGAGAGGAAGCATCACATTTAGTATGCAGGTATAAAATAAAAAGAAAAGGGAGAAAACAATTTTAGGAAAAATAAAGAGGAAAGATTTTAATTTTCAGAAAATCGGTTTTTGAAAAAAGGCGATTTTGTGAAAATGGAAGAAAGAAATTAAAATTAAAATTAAAATTTTGAAGAAAAATAAAAAGGGGTTTTCAAAAGAAAGTCTGAACTTGATAGAATTTGGTTTTTAAATTGCGGATAACAACGTTATTACACCACGTGTCAGCAAGTCAACCGGCTTTAGCTCAGTTGGTAGAGCGGAGGACTGTAATGTATTGTAATCCTTAGGTCACTAGTTCGAATCTGGTAAGCCGGATCCTCATGTATTTTTATTTTGGAGCTCATTATTTCTGTAGGATATTAGAGTGAGTGTTGTGTTTGTCGGACATTATTTTGATGAATCCGAGAAATCGGGATAATTGACCGCAGCAGTTCTGTATGTCAAAGATACCTCATAGATAACGAACCGCAGTAATGTCTTGTAAAGATTAACCACAGTAACATCTTCTAAGCATCAACCGCAGTAAAAGGACTTCTCTTGTAATTAAATAGAGTATAATAGTTTACTGCGGATAATGCGCAGTATTAGTTTAGAAAACTATATAAGACAATTCAATTCCTATCAATAAAAAGAACTTTTTATCCTCTCTTCGATTTTACATATACTCTCCGATCCCCAGTGGGTTTGACCTTTTGACTTTGCTATAGTAAAAGGAAGACCATCCCAGATCAGGAACGACATGTTGTGGCAAAATGCCCACTGCCATATTTGTCAAAATCGTGTCATTTGGTTTAAATTTTTGTATTTCAGTCTATGAGTGTCAAGTCTCTATCTGGTATTTCTTTTATGGCACTTGTAACTAAGTTGCAAAATCAATACCACTGGGGATTGTCAAGTTTATGAATAGTTTTTAGATAAGAATAAAGATACTTTTTATTAAATTTGTTTCTTGACTATTTATACAAATTGATACTTGATTTCTGACTAAAAGAATAGCTACGTTAATATATCTTAGATGCTAGTTATTCAGTAATATCTTCTACAAGTATATTCACCATCTTAAACATCTAAATCATATATAAAAGACTAATTGGCAATGATAAAATCTTTTACCCTAAAAGTCAATCATTATTGTTGCTTGTGAATTCCGATTTTGATTGCCAATGTCAACTCTGACATGGGCACTCTACTTTCAAATTGCTGCAATTTTTTTCATTTTGCCACAAATTCTTTCAAATTGCTACAAATTATTTTTTAATTGCCACAAAATTATATTTCTTTCTTTCTTGTTTATACATACTCACACACGTAATACATCATATAAGCTATCTAAAAATGCTTCACTGGAAAAATAAGGACAATTAACATATTGTCCAGGTAGTCAGATCATAGTGGATATGTCAGGATTTTTTTCATCTCAGCAGTTTTTTTTAGCAAGTTGGGGGTGTAGTTTTGATATATTCTATTGGCTTAAATAAAAATAAAATAAAAATAAAATAAAAAATATGTTTTGGTTTACTATAAAACCGTATCAAATGAAATATTTGTAGCACTCTTGTTTTCTTTTTTATTTTATAATTCAAAATACATACACTATGTTTCCTTCTATTCAAATGCACAACACTGATTGCCACTGCACCAGATGCAATAATAATGATCAAGGAGTTTCCCAAGTATCAAGGCATACTGCTCAGCATCATAATAAAAGAGCTAGATTTGAAGGTACTGAGATATTCAAGAGTTGTATAATTTATTCAGTGCTGTTATCTGTTTACCGAGTAATAATCGCTTTTATTTTTATTTTTTATTATTTTAAAAAACATAGCTGAAAAGAGAAGCATGGAAGTAGATACTGAAAGTAAGACATTTTTTATTTGAAACGCAGAAGAAAAACTAATAATAAACTATTATATTCCATATTTGTAGTAATCCCAATGTATCAATTTAATTCTGTGGAAGCAATGGATGGTCAGGCCAACTCACCTATTTCGGATGCCGTCTCAACATTTGACAATGACATCTTTGTTGATAATGACTACAATGGTGATGAGTCTGACACAACCAATGACAATGACAGTGATGACAATGGCGAAGAAGACACTGCCGAGATTTATGTTGAAGAGTTTAACAATGAGAGTCAGTTTTAAATACATAAAAAAAAACTAAAAAAATGTGTGTTAATTTTTTTTTAAAAAAAAGACCCTTTTGCTGCTTCTGGTATGCCTGAGAATCCAGTGCACAGATTTATTGCTACTTTTACAGTACTGTTTGCATCTCGTTACGTGGTCAATAAGGGTTTTGTTGTCTTGATTGAGTTCATCAACGGGCTCTTGAAGATTTATGGACAAGATTTCCAACTTCCCAAAAGTGTGGCTGGGCTACATAAAATGACTGGCTTTTTGTCTATCACCAAAGGCATCAAGCGATTTGTGTCATGTCCAAACTGCCATTGCATCTATGAAGAAAACATGTCCATACCTCCCCATTGTGTTTTCACAAATGTTGGTGCACGCTCTCCTTGTGATTGTAAGTTGATGAAAGAGTCAACTTCAGGTACACTGGTATCAAAGGGAGCATACTTGTACCAGTCCCTCAAGCAAGCTTTGTCTGTTCTTTTCCGTCGTCCTGGTTTTGAAGAGCAAATCCGTCACTGGAACACAGAGCTTAAGATTGTTGATACTATGTGCGACGTATACGATGGAGCAATGTGGAAATAGCTGAAGGATGCAAGTAGTGTCTCATTTGTTGCTTGTCCTTGCTCATTGATGTTGACACTCAACATAGACTGGTTCCAGCCGTTTGATGGAGTTAGTTACTCTTCTGGTGCAATTTACTTGGCTGTAAATAATCTGCCTCGAGAGGTACAGTTCAAGCCTGAGAACACAATTCTGGTTGGTTTGATGCCTGGTCCCAAGGAGCCAAGATGCGAGGAGATAAATAACTATCTCAAGCCCATGGTAGACAAGATGAAACAGTTGTATGTTGGAATGCGAGTCCCAACCTACGAGTGCCCTTCTGGTGCTAATGTCCATGCTGCCTTGCTGATGGTTGCGTGTGACATCCCTGCTGCCGGGAAAACAAGTGGATTTACAGCCTACAATAGTACATGTGCGTGCTACAAGTGTACAACTCAGTTCTCCAGATTGCCCAACACAAATCAGGTGGACTTCAGTGGATTCGATTATTCACTTTGGAATATTCGTAGCGGTGTAGAGAACAGGTTGCATGCTGAGAAGTAGAAGAGTGTGAGTACACCCTCAGAAAGGCACCAGCTGGAGGTCAAATATGGTGTTCGATGGTCGCAGTTGCAATGCCTTGGATACTTTGATCTAGTATGTGGAACGCTCATTGATCCCATGCATAATTTATTCCTGGGGATACCAAAGAGAATGATGGACTGGTGGGTCAATAAGAAAACGATTGGAGCCGAAGAGTTTGCTGCCATGAAAAAAATCACAGAGACAATAGTTCTTCCGAGGGATTATACAAAGCTGACATCAAAGATTGGAAAAGGCTTTCCTTACATGAAAGCCGACAACTGGAAATCCTGGGTACTGGTGTATTCTCCTGTTCTGCTACATGGTGTTCTACCATTTGAAATATACAACAACTGGATGAATTTCGTCCGTGCATGCCACTATCTTATCAAGCCAAGCATCACATTTGATGAAGTGAACAGTGCCCACGACTATCTGGAAATGTTTTGCAAAAAGGCTACCAAACTCTACACTCCCACCATTCTCACCTGCAACATGCACCTGCACCTCCACCTTTGCGAGACAATTCATGATTTTGGACCCGTGTACGGTTACTGGCTCTTTGGGTTTGAGAGATACAATGGCCTGTTGAAGCATATAAAGACAAACGGAAAAGATAGTTTTGAGACAACATATATGAGAAGTTTTGTTTAAAACGCATTCAAGGGTGACTATGCCAATGCTGTTCTGAAAAGTTCTAGCCACATCCCCTTTTTCAACATTCTCTCAAAGCTTTCTCCGAAATTCACACCTACCACCACAGTCATTACTCTCTCCTCCCGTCCATTCCAATTGCAATCATTCTTACTAGCATCGTCCAACCCACATCTTCCTCCAAAGGGTAATGAACCTCTCTCTCCTTTGACTTTTCCTCTTCAGCTAAAAAAATCATCACTGATGGATGAAACCTACTATGCCCATCTGCTTCAGCACTACAAAACATCCTATGATCTTCCCAACCTTGTCAGTTACCAATATGCCACGCTCACAAGCTCCTTTGTTGACAATGAAATCACAAAGTTGAAGTTCATTGACTTACTTGGTCAACAGTACCGTGGTAAAAACGGTTCAGCTAGTTGTGGTTCTCTTGTCCACGTAATGTTTGTTGGTAGTGACGGTAGAAATACCCTAGCCTATGCTGGACAAATACAGTATCTCTTCACACACTCCTTTACACACCCTTCTAACAGCAATCTCCACATGACTCGCATGGTTCATGATTATCAACATGTATTCGCATATATCAAGTGGTTTAATACTTCCTCTGATAGATCGCGTGAGGATGATGGTCTTGAGTTTTGTCTCTGTTGTGAATGAGTATTGATTACTGCTGAATCTGAGAGTAAGACTGAAGGATAAAATAATATCCTCAGCTATTCCAGTCAAACGGATCTCCCTTTATGATATTATCTAATACACAGATCATCATACACATAATTGATTATTTATTATTATCACCATGACATGGGATATACAAATACATATACATTATATATATGGCATCATTATATTTCATCTACATATTTCTTTTATTATACAAATACTTAATTGAGAGACTACAACTACAACTATCTAATATTATGAAACATTACCCGAGTATCTGGGTCGGAATACTAAAATATTACCAATAGCATAAATGCTCTTCTTTACCAAAACTCTTGGACTGATCTGACTGGAGAAGTATCATATCAATTGGTCTTTTCGGATCTTTCCAGAAGAACAATACTCCTGGAAGATGACTCATCGTGATAAAGATTACTTAAGCACACACTGAATTACAAATTAGAAAAACATATAAATATCAGTAGATAGTTCCGTGTAGAAAGACAATCGAAATTTTATCATTCTTTACTTTTCTTTTGAAATAAACAACCTACACAAGTTCTCATGAATTCTTTCGTCTATATTATATTTTGCTTTACTTTCTCCCCACAACATTTTTTTTCGTGAACTACAATGAACTCTCTTGCTGACTTGTTTCCCGCTGGTTTGACCCCTGTTCCTGAGGAGGCTACCTTGTCCCCCATGTCTGCGGATGAATTATTCTCTGACTTGAGTGAGCCCGTCCTCTTTCCGGATGCTGCCCCTGGTTTTGGTTCCGTTTCTGGTTCTGGTTCCCCTCCCGTTGGTAGAGAAGTAACAACTGCTTCCTCCTGTGTGGCCGTTCTCAAGGCTGAATTGGGCAACCACATCGAGGCCTTCAGCGCTGCTCATGTAGCAAACAATGAGCAAGCAGCTGATGATGCACTCCGCAGGATCGAGCGCACAAGATTGGCAATCACTAGCCTTGAAAAGTGCAGCGAGATGCTTGCCTCTCCTGGTACAAACACAGAGAGAGCTGGCCGTGAAGGAGGGTTGACTCTCAACAGAAGAGATCTTCCCAAATTCCAATTGGCCTCCAGTATTATTAAGCCCTTCCCAAATGAAGAGGTTTTTGAATCAGTTGGACATTTCCTACGTACCTTCAAGAATGTGATCGAGTCTTCTTCCTTGGACATCGAGAGAGTTTGGAAGAAATTCCTCCCACTTTGCCTGCCTCACACTGATGACGGATGGGTAGAGATGGATCTTAAGAAGTGTATTGATTGGAAGGCGGCGAAATCATGCTTCAACAAAAGACATGGTTCCAGCTTGGTGTCTCGGCGATTCACAGACCAGGTCTTTACAATGATGATGAAGAACACTGAGTCCATCGGTGATTACTCGAAGAAGTTCCTCCGTGCGGTTTACAATGCTGGTTTACCCAAAGACGATGCTCGCATCGCTGATCGCTTCCTTGCCTCGCTGACCTTATCAGTGCAAACACTGGTAAGAGTTACCATGGCCCGCTCTGGTCCCAATGGGGAGTCCAAGCGTGATTGGACTGTAGAGCAGATCACGCAGATCGGCAGAGACATCCTTGGGGATGACAACAGGCTCTATGCTGAGGCGACCCGATTGATTCCTGGTTCCCGTGGGCAACCTGAGAAGAATAACGAGGAACATCCCAGAAAGAAGCTTCACCACTCCAACAAGATAACCAAGCATGAGAAGACATTTTTCTGCTCGCACCATGGAAAAAACCCAACCCATGAGTCCAGCAAGTGTTTTACCTTGATCAACCACAAGAACAAAGCCAGTAGTTCCAACAGTCGCAATCCTTGCAGACGTTGTGGTGAAAACTACTACCATGGTCATGTCTGCAAAAGCAAGAACAATGAGCCAATTCTCATGGTATCCCAGTCTCCCGCAAAGGATAAGTCTGAGCAGACGCTCAAGACGATCCAGGACAGGATAGATGAAGACATGGAGGAAATATCATTTGAATGTAAGTACCTACTTGACAGAATTGAGAGAAGAATTAAAGCTAATGATGCGTTTAATCTTGTAACTCCAATCATAATAGAGAACCAGAAGTTAATCGGGATGATCGATACAGGCAGTTCCCGCACGTTTATAAATTTGAAATGTTTAAATAACAATTTACAAATAACAAAAATAAATTCTTCAATTGGTTCCTTTAATTTTCTGTCTAAGAATAGTAGTACAAAGAGATTAGGAAAAACTGATCCTTTAAATTTTAAATATATAAATGGCATCACCTTTAAGCATGCACCAGAGGTGTTAGAGTTTAATACGGGTTTTAATTTTGATATCCTCCTTGGAAGAGATATTTTGGCAAAGATGAATATTGGATTAATTAATGTTGCATATGATATTGAAGGAGAATATGTCCATTCAGATAATGCAAAAGACTATGCCGCCATTTATGAAAATCTAAATATTGATAAAGAGAAAAAGTTTGAACCTGATAATTCGCCAGCTGGCACAGCACAGCAACGAGCAGAATTTATGAGCTCTATTAAAGCATCACTGGAGGAAAATAAGAATATTCCCGTTGAGTCATATTGTCCTTTATCAGAATCTATTATTCGTTTACCTACTAAGGAAGGTGCGACGGCTTACAGACGGCAGTATCCTATACCGCACGCTCTAAGACCAACACTTGACAAGCAAGTAAAAGAATGGCTTGAGACAGGAACTATTGTCAAGTCCAAGACCAACACTTCCTTCAACAGTCCAATGTTGCTTGTTCCAAAGAGAAACAAAGCTGGTGAGATTGTCAGTCATAGAGTGTGTTTAGATGTGCGATTG